TATTTGGGCATTTTTGCCACAAACTTGAATCAGAGCTATTTAGAAGATATTCAATTCTTGGATGGTGCTTTTTAGTACTAATTCATTATAATCTGATATCACTTGATCATGAGTTCATATTTCTAATCAAAAAACATATTTATTAAATAGAGGAAGATTTTACTTAAGGCTCATCACGTCTCTTACTGAGATCTGTGATACTAAATCTTAATAAAATATGTATCCAACACTCAACATAATAGATATTTTTCCTTTTAAAATTTTGAAACTGAGACAAAGCTAAATGCCCCAACTAGAAAAAAAAAAGGGAGGGAAACTACACTCATTTTGGTATTATTTATTTATTTATTTATAAAAAGAAAGTCATACTTTCTAATTGTAGATTAATATTAACTCTTAGAGGATCTAGAGACGTATCTAATTGCAAATATAAATATCAAAAAAATTTCGATAAACAAATTTATTTTTCATTCTATATTCATCTCTTGATTTTTATTTTAAAATTTTTCCAATGAACAATTTTTATCTTAATATATAAAGATTAATTAGCACTAGGCATCATATATTGAATTAAATCTAGGTTAAAGAAAGACAAATAATTGCAAAGGCTTTGTATTTGTCCTACTGGTATAAGTAAAAAGAGTCTTGTTACAATTATCAGGCACATAATGAAATGTTCTCCAAATGCTATAGAAAAGGATGTGCAAAGACACTGAAAAGGTGATCGCCATTGTTGCAGTTAAGCACAGGAGGTTCAATTGCTCTCGAATCTCATCGAAATGAGAATAACAATGTACATATGATCATATGTGAGAGAAGGACAAGTTTATCATGACTTGGATGCTTTTCCTTCTCACACCCCAATCAATTCTCTGCAACACATACCCAGAATCCAGATTAAGGCATGATCTTATACTATTATCTTGCTTTCTTTCCATTTTGTGTTTCGCTTCACTAATTATATTCAAAAATATACAATAGTAAACTAAATAAATTTCATATTTTGTTTAATACAAAAGATTGGCTTGACTTCATAAAGAAATTAGTAGCATGAAATAGTTGGCATGCTTATGACTGATCTTTAATGATTAATCTGATTTTACTATCACATCAGCAACATGCCTATCTACTCTTCACTTTTCTTGTTTGGTGGCTTCTATCAAGGAATGATTTTGTTAAATGTTGAAAATTAAGAAACCAAAAGCATGGTCATCCCCTTGGGCCAGATCATTGGATGCAAAGAGATAGCTAGGTGAATCTCCAAAGATACAATGCATGCACCTTGAACCAAGGATTGTAACAACCCACCCAAGACTTCACAGCTTGCTTTTACCTTTTCAATATTTAATTTCTTTCTCACTTGGAAATGAAAATCCCCATGTGATTAAATTTCCATGTAAATCACCCAAATACCAAGAACTATAGCAACATGACACTATGGTAATCCAAAAGGGATGATCAGTAAAGCACCATGCATCAGCATTGTTGGAGGTAATCAATAAGAAAGAAGAGAGAGGCCTTGGGGACCATGTTTGGTCATACTTCCACCAAAGAGGAGTTGCTTTCCAAGCCATCAAGACTACTCCTTGGAGATGACCACCACTTCACTATCAAACTTGTGCTTCTCAATTCTCATAAAAAGGTATGTACTACCATGTAAAAGCGGTCCCTTTTCTCTTTTCCTTTCTTTTGGTTTTCCTCCCTTTTTCTACCCCATAGAATCATAGCAATGTGTGAAGTGAGCAAAGCAGTGTGTAATAAGCTCCTTTTTCAGCTTATCAGGCTACCTAACTAACATTATCCACTGCTTCTAGATAGGGAATTTTTGCAGCCGACTCCCCATGCACTTGATAGTGCCACAAGGGTCACAAAGAGAGAAAAGACCTTTTGACAAGCATATAATCTTCTTTGGCTTCTAGCCTTTCAAGTTTGGGCAAGGACTCAATCCAGGATTACAGGGTACTTTCCATTCTAAGAAAATACATGCTTCACTATATAGTGATAATAATAATAATAATATATGGAAGAATGATGGAACATATCTAAGCTCTTTAGAACTTTTTTTTTTCAATTAATTTTGCATAATGCTTTGTACACTTTTCATAGAAACTTAGTGAAGCTTTTAATTTTTTCCAAATGGAAAATTCTAGCATCATATATATATTTTTTTCTCATATAAAGAATTAATTTAATTTCCCATATCTAATCCATTTAAATACTAAATTTCACCTCTAAACTGATAAATAATAGTACACATTTCCCTACTAAACGACCCAAAATTGGTATCTGATTATTAAAAATTACATAAAAAGGTAAAAGCAATAATTATGGTAGAGATAAATGAATGCCCAAATAGTAAAAGCAGAATATATAATCAATGATAAATGACCTTAAATTAGTGGCTTCTCTCTTTATTCTATTTTATTTTATTATTTTTGTGAATGATGAATTTCATGATGGTACTGATTAGACAGTTTGTTTACAAGTGAGATTAACCCCTTGTTTTGGTCAAAAGATTAGCCTAGTTATTGCTTGAATTACTGTGTAAATGGTGAAATTAATTACTTAAGTGTAAAATATTATATTGCTTAACTTTTTTTTTTAAAGCTTTTATTGTACTAGTCTGTCTTCAAAAATTATATTCTATCAAAATTAATATATTAATTATGTAATTGTTAAAAATGACTAATCGTTTGACACGTGAATTGATTTTAATCACATGAAATATGTATATCAATTGACTTCGATCACATTGACATGAATACATCAAGTGACCGAAATCAATTGACATGTTAGATAGTGTTAACTTTAAGCATTAATTTCAATAAACATTTGACGATAGAAAACCTAATTTTTCAAAAGTAAATGACAAAAACAAAAGTTAAGTAGCCAAAATTTCAATCAAATTGACAATTTTGGCTGCTATATATATTCTAACAAAACATATTTGCCCTCCACTCAAATATGCAATCATTTTGGTTAAATATCAACAAGAGTCAACTCAAGTCTTTGCCCTTCAATTTGTTCATGTCATTATATTTGCAGTTGCATATACAGATATGATGAAGACCTACCCAATAATCATTCCACCTCTTACTCCACTTTGGCAAAATCTTATGTAATCATTCTTCTTTCAAAAAAAAAGTTTTAAGTCATACAATCTGATATGAACTTCCTAGTTTGTCCTTTTGTATATATAAACCAGTTGAGATCACCATATTCATCCCTTGATGTCACCAAACCCACTCAAAGGCTATACTGGTGACATGACATTGCCTTAGCATGCAATGAACTTTTGGTAGCAAATAAAGAAAAAGGAAATCAACTCACTTGGAATTTCAAAAGCCCAAATTCTCATCATTAGATGGTAACAACTAAGATAAAAGAATATGATTGGTGTGATATCATATCTCTTTTATACAAATGAATCTTGCTCATTAGCTAGTGCTTGGGATTGTGCTAATAATTAATCAACTTTGACAATCGTGTGGAATACATGTCATTTCTTTTGGATTAGATCCTCATCACCAAATTATCTTCAACTGTTTGAAGAATTAACTTAGAAATTATCCCAACTCTATTGTGGAAAACAACAAGTTTTTAATTATGTATTCATGATTAAAGTACGAGGATTACTATTAAAAGGTAGTTAAATTTATTGTGCACGAGTAAATACGCGTCCGTACTCTTGTTTACTAAAAATATTTGTCGGAATGTTTAAAGATTCTTATCTTATTAATATCTATGATTACAATAAATATTTATCGAAATTTTTATAGATTTTCGTTCACATGAAACACGATTTTGTTAGAGAATTTTGAAACATTTCAATCTATTCAAACGCATTCGTTCATACCAAAAATAATGAACACGTGTATATATATATATGGAAAAAAAGGTCTAATTCGTGTATTAAAACGTCATAAAATCGAAATTTTTTTTCTTAAAAATCATATATACTTATTGTATTTCATTTTTAGATTAAAAAGAGATAAAGCAAGAGGAAAAGGATTGAATAGTTGAAATGTGATGATTAGGCCTTAAGCATTATCCAAATTCTTAATTTTTTTTTAATTTTCTAATTCTTAATTACTACCTTTCTAAGGCTAGAAAGTGTCTCTGGCGTCCGCAAGCGACGGCTGTGTATGGAATACTACAATACCACTGCTTGCTTTCTTCTAAAGAATGCCTGCAAACCCCCAATTTTTTTTTATTTTTTTGTTTAATTAATTAAACTAGAAGCATTGAGCCATTTTGCTCTTTGTGTTTTATTTAATTAGTGAAAATGGGGAGTAAACACTCAGAATCTGAATTAAAAAGGTCAGCAAATCTGGGGTTTACTCATTTATGGGTCTTACATATTTAATGCCCTCAGTAAATAATTGTTGGACATATCCTCTTCTCAGATTCTATACCTCTTTTTTTTTTTTTTCAATTACTTTGAATTTTTCCATGTAAAAATTTGTTATTAATTACTAAGTGTAAAGGTATCTCTTCGGAGTTATTACTGATGCAAATTTGCATTAATGGCTTGTTGTCTCTAGCTTATTCTCAGATAACCCTAAAAAAGCTGAATGAGAAAATGGAAAAAAAAAATTGGGTTCATTGAATAAAACCCAAAAAATACGTATTAAAATTTTTATTTGATTAATGTCCTCTTTTATATATAAAAAAATAAAAAACGAATATAATATTAACCAGATTAATACTTTTTGAGACATAACTAATAACAAATTATTAACTAACTTAAGAAGTTGATTTAGACCCAATCTTTCTTCTTCTTTTTTTTTTAAATTTTTTTTACCATGAATTGAATATAATAAAAAAAATCCCTTTAGTAGTGAAAAATATATATTATGAAAAGAAAGAAAAAAAATAAAAAAGGGAAGTCCACGTGTAATGAACTATGAAGTCATCTAGTTTTACGTCGAGGAGGAATCCTTTCTACATATAAAACCGGCTTCCGCTTCTCAACGAAATCCTCTCAACAGCCGTCTCCTTCTCCTTCTCCTTCTATCTCTCTCTCTCTCTTTCTTCTCTGTTTCTGTTTCCTCTCATTTCGGTACCCTGTTTTGTTCTTTCTGCTTTCTTCAGTCCTTTCTCAAACAGGGTCAAACTTAATTTATTCACCTTCTTCTGCTTCTGCTGCTGCTGCTGCTGCTGCTGTACATATAGAAGGATATAAATTTTTGACAAGATCATTAAACCAATCCGTTTCTTTGATGCATACATATATCTGTTCATATAAAATCTGGGTTTTTGTTAAAGATTTTGTTTGTTTTTCTTAGAACAGAAAAGAGCAAGAGTTTGTTTGAGGATTATGGCGCATGGGATTCTGGTTTTTGATGAAGACATGGAGGATCAAAGGTCTTTGATGAGTTTTTCTCACAGCTTTGATTATCTTTCTGGGAGCTGGACACAGTCAACTCCACAGGTTTCTTTTCCTCTCTTATCTTTATTTTTCTAAGAATTTATCAGCCTGTTTCTTTTCTCTTTTTTTTTTTTTTAATTTCTTTCATTTTTGAGAGGCTGCTACATTGAGTGCTGTTTTTTTTTTGTTCTCTCTTTTGGCTTACTGGGATTTCTGTTGTTCATATGCGTGAGGCTAATCTTGTGTCTCAAAAGATTTAAGATGAGGTTTTGGTCCTTTTGGAGATGCTGCATGTAGTGCTTTTCAATGGCAAACATATGGTTTTTATCATGCATGTTATTTTCAAGGTTTATAAAAATTATTAATGATATTTTTTCTGACAGAAAATGATTAGAAAAACTGTCTTTTGATCCTTCTAATAAATTATTTTCCTTGGGAATGTAGTTTTTCTTTAAATCTATATATATATATATATATATGTATATATATGTTGTTCATTGATGAGTTTATTTTTTGCATGGGACTTCCATGTCTATCTTTGTTTGCTTTCCCTTTCTCTTCTTTTACTTTGGGGTTCATTTAAGATCATCTCTTTCTATGCTTTTTTTTTTTTTCTTTTCTTTTCCGAAAGAACTTTAAAAACAAGCATGGGTTTAAATATTTCACCATTTATCCAAAAATTATTTCTTTCACAATTTTTGTTTGATAATACTTTTTTTTTTTTTGAAAAGCATTGTTTGATGATCCTGATGTGCTACTGCATGTTTTGGCCAAGTTTTGACAGTCATGCATTGGCTTTTTGGATTATCCTTCAAATCTGTCAATGGAAGAGGTCAGATATATTGGTTTTCACTTGTTTTTTTTTTTGCACTAACTTTGATCCATTTCCTCCTCTTCCTTTTTATATGTAAATGCAGTTAGTTTCTCTACTGTTATGATTCTACAAGCAATAAATACTTAATATATTTAAAATGCAGGCATGGTAAAATTAATTATCTTCAGTCTTCGTTGCAGGTTAACTTGATTCAGGCTTTTCAGACACTACCTGCTCTTGGCTTGAAACTTTCTAGAACATCCTCTTTCCTAGACAGGCTAGACCAGATGGTCCAAGAACAGAACTCCAATGGTGAAAATCAAGCAAACTCTAATTCTGTTTATGCTGCAGCTAAAGTAAAGGCAAAAGAAGCTTTACAGCAAGCAAATAAGTTGAAGGCTGAAAACTTCCCAATTGCTTTGCTTAGAGTCGGCTCATGGCAGGTGAAACCAATTATCTGCTTACTTTATGCAAACTGCGCGTATATACAGAAACATGAAGAACATTTCCACATTCTAATAAATGGTTGATTAATGTCTCTTGCAGAGGGTATCCAGAAATGAAGGTGACTTGGTAGCAAAGTGCTATTTTGCTAAGAGAAAGTTGGTTTGGGAGTTTTTGGAACATGGTTTGAAAAGTAAGATCGAAATCCAGTGGTCTGATATCTTGTCCTTGAAGGCTGTCATTCAGGAAGATAAGCCTGGAATTCTTGAAATTGAGGTAAAAATATTTTTCAAGCTGTTCCACAGTTAAGATTCAATGGGGTCTGTTGCTTGTTTTGATTTGGATTTCTTCTGTAATAATGTGGTGAGATTTGTGCAGTTAAACCAGCCTCCTTCCTTCCACCATGAGATTGATCCACAACCAAGGAAGCACACTCAATGGAGAATGGTGTCAGACTTCACTGGAGGACAAGCTCCTACGTTCAGGTTTGCATCACTTCTGTTTTGAATTTTTTTTTATATTTAATTGTTTCTTTTCCTAGCAATTGATCACCATCTCATCATCTGGTATCAACCTTGTCTTCTTCTTACTTAATTTCTTCATTTTCCAACATACAATTTTGTGGTTATTGTGTCGTATTCTTAGGAGGCACTACCTAGAATTTCCTCCCGGAGCCCTTGACAGGCCCATCGAGAAGCTCTTTAGATGCGACAACCGGTTGTTTCAGTTGAGCCGGCAAGGTTACCCAACTCTAGAGTCTCCATACTTTCAGAAATATACATATGGGATTGATTTGTCTTTTGACTTTGGTGGCCAAGGGGCTCATGTCAATCCTGATCACCAGCAGCAGTTTTCATTTTCAAATGCCCCTTCACATTTTCTTTCTCAACGCTTTCAAACATATGAGCAGACAGCACAAAAATCTGTCAGTACCAAGGATTCAGATTCACCCATATCAGGTATTTCACTGCTTTCAATCCCAACTTTTCGGTTTAGGCTCTAGTTAAAGTTGCAAACTAACACTTGTCTTCTTTTTCTTCCCTTCCCTTCCATTGTGTTACTATAATATAGTTATGGATTTTTCACATATAGATGAGCATATCAGCAACCACATGCCAGTCTGGGGTCAAGGGACGAACAATGTGAGAGATAGTTTGAACGCAAACCAAGTGGGAGGAATGGCTTTCACTGCTGCTCCGGGCACCCAGGTGAATCCAACTATCTGTCTTCAAAACAACCATATGCCAGCTTATGTCCAAGAAGCTCAGAGATATCAACTTGGAGGACTAGTACCTGCACCTTCAACCGCCCAGGTGCATAATCCAACGCTAGTATCTCTTCAAGAAGCTGAAAGGCACCAACCAAGGTTTCAAAGGCTAAATGACCTCCAAAACATGCTGTTGAGCAACTCGCCAACCGGCTTCTCCGATGTGGTAGCAGAGGGCAATCTATTCAGAGAAGGAAATCCTGCAAACTACACTAGTAATGTGACTGCATTCTATGGACAGGATATGGTCGATAATCCTGCAGTTATTATGAGCAACAATCTGTCAAACAGTAACGGCAGGCTAATCTCTCCCCATGCTGCTTGCAGGCCGCAGCCTCTGGTTCCTAATTCGAATATGAATCTGCAGCCTGGGAACAACTCATTTTATTCACCTGTTGTTCCTGATCTAGCTGTGCAATACTTTTCCAATCCTCATGCCTCCAATGAGTTCAATGACTGGGCCTAGAAGTCTGGACAGTACGTGGAGAATTTTGTTAGGATAATCATGAGATTTTGTTACAAATCTCATCTTTTTCACATTTTCATTCTTTTAGGCCCAGAAGATAGGAAGTAGATAAACCTTAAGTAGCTACAGAAACAGTTGCCAGAACTTATCATTTCTTTTTTCTTACAGCGTGCAACTTATAATGTAAGTAGTTTAGTTATTTAGAAAGTTTTCTTACTGCATACGAGGATTCTTTGAATCCATTTTGCTTCTTCGACCATTTCTTTATTTATTAATTTCTTCACTCTAAAAATCCTTCAGAAAAAGAAAAACCTCCACTCAAGTTAGAAGTTTCTGTACCAAAATCCCCGTACGCTTAAGCAACCCCAGATTCCAATCAGGGAGTCCAACAAAAGCAAGGCAAAAAACTAGGGAGTTTAGCAAGAAATAGCTAAGCAAGATTACTTGTTTTGCCATCAAGAATTAAAAAAATGACTCCGGAATGTAAGGGTCAATGAAAAGCCCTGAAACTATGATGATAACAGGACAGCAGGTTTGTTGAGATAAACAAGAAACCGTGTAAATCAGAAGTCCTTCCTGGCTGCTTTTCATGAGAAACTGCAAATATATATATATATATATATATTTCTCTTCAAATCAGATAAAGACTTTGGTACACACTTCATTTTATCTTGAAGGCGTCATCATCCCTGTCAAAGATGAATGCCTAACCGATCAATAAGCATGGAGAACACATGCTTTCTCGCAACAAAGTTGGCATGGACTGAAAATCAAACTTTCGGATAAAATACACTACCTGCTGTACAGTTTCACAATTGAAATTATCTCCATAGCAGCAAAGGCAAACTGGTCCCTCCAGATTCATTCTTGGGGGTTCAAGAAATTATTAAAAAAGACAATTTAAGAAGTCAAGGGTTAGAAGGCACATGAAAAGAACAAACATGTTTCTACAACATTCTCAAAGAATCAACTCGTACTGTGTAAAAACATCTAAAAGGGACTTCTATTGTGCAAGAGTCAGCAACCGGGAGATAAAATATGCTCAAAAACAAGCATGCTTTCATCTACTTTGAATATAGGCAAAGCCAGAAGAAACAGCCCTCAAACTATTCACAGAATTAACTATAGTAAATAAACTTCATGATGAGGATACAGCTTGTGGTCATATGAGAACTCCATGGTTCATACTACAATAAACACATTCACTTCTGCTCTGTTCTAGGCAAACCTAAACAATATTGTGTTGTTGTAACAAATGGAATGAATTGAAGGGAGTTTTCTCTTCCAGTCAAAAGATCACCAGATTTGCAACAATAGTTTCTGTTGACACAGCAACACATCTTCACACTAGGGATGGGAGATTAAGTTGCATCATCAGGTGCAGCTGGAGTATCGCTAGATTTGCCAGCAACTTCAGTGGCACTTCCCTCAGCATTCATTTCACTGAAATTTCGTTTCTTTGATTTAGAGTTTGAATTCTCCTTTTCATTTTCATTCTCCTTTTCTTTCCCTTTTCCTTTCTCATCCTCAGCTTCTTTTTCAGGCTGGCTTTCATCATTTGGATGAGGAAATAGTGGAGGTTCCCTGCCACTTAATTTACAAAAGACTCTTTCCACAGTTTCACTTATTTCCTTCCCTAGCCCATTTGTGTCCAAAATCAAATCCCAAACTGATTTTGACGCCCTCTCAAGGACTGGGGTTCTGCCCAATAATAAGAACAATCATTAGTTCCACCCTACATTTAATGCCCTTTCAATTTTAAATCAGGAGCACATAGCATATCATGCACAATGGCATTGAAAGTTTTACAAATTATGACAAAGATCAGGTAGGCTGGGAGTGTAAAAACATGAAAGAAGTACATGAAACCATCTAGGCATTATTGAACTTTAGCTGTTAAGGAAACAATGAACAACAGCAATAACACTCACTCAAGTTCCTGCCTAAGTGCATCAAACAATTCTCTTTTGGTCTGTTTCTCTGCCCCAGGGGTGTTAAGGACCTTACTCTGCTCTGCCATTCTGATTGTTGTATTCTTCAGCTCCTCCTATAACAAAGGCAAAGTACGGATATCATACCACATCCAAAGCAATGTAGGTTTTTTAACCCATGTTATGTCAGCAAAGCACACACAACAAATATCAGCGAGTTACAACAATAAATATAATAAACAAGTCACCACAATATCCAAAATTCAGTAAAATTACTCCCCAATCCAAATTCAATTCCTTCATCATGTAGAGAACTCAATATCCGTTGGAAAGAGGAGTAACACTTTTATAGAATTTACACTAAATATATAACTTCATATCCAGTGCCCACAAAAAGAAGAAACTTTTCTCCTCTTAGTAAAAATAAGGAACCATCATCAGCAAAGTAAAAGACCATGACTCAATGGACTTAAATGGATTTACAAGGGGACTCCAAAATCTATGTATACCCAAAGAGTTCACTCAGATAAATAATAATTGCATTCAAGGAAAGAACAAAAATTTGACATTAACACTCAAACAAGCGCAAAGAGCAATCACTGAATTTGCAAAATCTTAATGATAAATCACAAATTTGGATGACATTGTCCCAGGAAATTATTCAATGAACAATTTTTGCATCGAAACAAATACACCCAGATAAAATATTCAGCAACTTGTATGCTTATGTACCAAAATACAGACATAAGAGATGAAAGAAAGAGACTAACATTGGCCTTAAGCTGATTGATAATCTTCAACCTGAGAGCATCAATAGTTCCATCATTCATCAAAGACTCCAACACATCTTCTGGGGTTATTACTGATGATGACCCCATCTTTTAATTTGCACCAAAAACAAAAATTAACAGATTCAATTCCTTCAATTTCTATGCCTGAAGCAAAAAAAGGGGAAAAATCCAATCTTTTTAGCTCTTCAAGCTTCGTTATAGGAAAAAGTTGGGTACTTCGAAAGAGAAGAGAGCTAACAGAACATTAGAAAGAAGAAGATGAAGATTAGATACGGCTAGAGAAATTAGCGTACCTTGTCGTCTCTTCCATTAAAGGAACCAAATAAAAGTAATATAAAAGACTTTGGGCAGACTCCATCTTGGCGGAAACGACGTCGTTCGGCATTTATTCCTGTTTGTTTTTTTTTTATTTCTTTTATGTTAAACAATTTGTTAAAACTTTAAGGAAATAATAATAAGTGTGGAGTTAATATTAAAATATGTCATTTTATATTTCAACTATTTTACTTTTATTACATAAAATATATATATAAGCATGACGGTAATTATAAGATTTGTTTCATTAAATGAAAAACCATCTTATTTTATTAATTTTTAATTATGTGTTTATCATTGACTTGTTATGTAAATTTTTTTTTGGTGTTAAATTTGAATAAGTAATTATAAGTCTATAATGCTTTAAGGTCTCGATCTTTAATTGAATCAAAGTCTTATGGACATCAATAAATGTTATTATGTAACATGAAGTATTGAAACAAATCAAATGGCTCGATACGCTTGATCTTAACAATTAATACTCAATTTTTTATTGAAATAAGACCTCATACGAAGATTGAGATAAACCCAAATCAAGGTGAGTCTCTCCCTTTTATAAGTGAGAGACTCGAAACATTGTATAATTAGATGAGATAAAATATCATAAAAATTAAATGAGATAAAATGTCATAGATTTCAAGTCAGTATTTAAAGATGAGATAAATTTGAAGGAGCTGGTGCACATATTCTCTTAGTTGAACCATATGGACAACAAAGATTTTAAGACAAAAAATTGAACTACATAGATCATTCCACAAAAGAAGCAATGCAAGAACAGACAATGAAGAACAATTGTATGGTTTCATCACAAGTTAGCATTCTCTAATCCTTGTTAAGTACTAATATATATACAAATGCTCTGATATATCATATCCCGGAGCTGACAATGCAAAGCTCATGCATGATATCCAGATGGCTCCATTATTGATCTTCATGTTTCAACAAAATCTTTAGCCGCTGCAATCTTATCGTTCACCTTCATCTTTGTCCAATGAAGAAGACAAATAGTTCAAGATGAAGCCGTCTAGATCTCCTTCCAGCACAGAGTCAGGATCAGAGACCTCATAATTGGTCCGGAGATCCTTCACCATTCGATAAGGCTGCATCAAAAAGAGAGCATGTCAAAATGTGACCCAAAATGTCAATGGTCCAAAAAGCAATTAGTGTAAGCTTCAATGCGAGAGAGGCTGTACATGAAGAACGTAAGTACGTATCTGGTTGCCCCAACTTATCTCGGTAAGAGATTGTGTATGCTGAGCATTCATCTGTGCCTGACGAGCCATCTCAAGCTGGTCTAATCGAGACTGAAGCACAGCCATTGCTGAGGCCTTATTCTGATGCTGCGATCTGTGTTTCCAAGGAAATTATGAGCTTGGGTTAGAGAGAAAACAACAGTACATATGGCCCCATTTTTAGCACAAACAAAGCTAGGAAACTGCAGTGGTTTTGACAATCAGCACACTTCAACACCTTTCATTTTGACAAGTAGCAGTTACTCCCGTGGGAATGTGGACAATCCTCACAGCACTCTCGGTTGTGTTAACATGTTGACCGCCAGCTCCCCCAGCACGAAACCGTTCAACGCGGAGATCAGATTCATTAATTTGTACATGAGTAGATCCATCACCTAGGATAGGAATTACAGCAACTGCAGCAAATGAAGTATGCCGCCGCTTTCCACTGTCAAAAGGGGAGATACGGACTAACCTATGAACTCCTACTTCTGCTTTCGCATATCCAAAAGCATATTCACCATCAACTTTGATTGTTGCTCGCTGAAAGAATAGTCTCATCTAAGGTTAGAAAACAATAATCTCCGTCCAAGTAATTCTTTGAAATGGGCCAAAAAATTCTCAATTAAAAGCTAAAAGTAGACAGTTCAATGGACTTCATGTTTAGCACCCAACTAGAATCTAACATTCACAAAGAAAAAATGACAATAGCTTTTCATCTCAAAAGAATTCCCAGTTATCGTTAAGTTTAGGCATGCATGCCTAATTACCCTCTATACTGGATTAGGTAATAAAACAGATATGTGCAATCATGTGTCATTTAAAAGAAGGACAAGTAGAGGAGGCAAGAAGATTAACCTTGATTCCTGCAATCTCACCCGGCATTTCATCCATTACTGTTACTCCATAGCCATGCCGTCGGGCCCAGGTTTTATACATTTGCATAACCATTGCTGCCCAATCCATGCTCTCAGTGCCCCCAGCTCCAGCTTGTACCTACATTATAAACCAAAAGATCAAGGTCGACATCAGCAGAATATAAAGCGGCAGATTTTCATTATCCATTGGGACAATGGCAAATAAGAAAAAGAACCATTAAACTGTAAGGCAATCACATTGTTTTCAAGAATAGGCATCTTAATAAAACTAAAGGATAAAAGTATACTGCACTGAACAACAGTCAAAACACTACATAAATTAAACCTCTATATAACAAGAGCAAGAGTCATGCTCCCCAGCTAACAAAGCTTCAAGCTCCTTGTCTTTTGAATCTCTTCTCATCCTTAGCAATGCTTTCATCGATTCCTGCAGAGGAATATTTTATAGAGTTAAAACTGGCTGTTTGGTGTATAAAGAAAGATGCCTAGTAAAAATACAAGTGATGTTTTTCATAGATTCACAAGAAGATATTATGTAACAGCATATCTTAGAAGAGACAGTCAACTACCACAACCCAGTGAGTGCCTTTTTGTCAAAATATTGCTAAATCACCTTTTGCGCATGAAACTAAATCACTCCTGTTTCTATTGTTAACTAATGTTATCTTTCAAGGTAGAAACATTCCTGATTTTGTGTAACAGAAAATACAGCTACTCCATAATATGCAACAATGATATATAGAATTAACCTAAAAAAAATCCAAAAAATAATAATTACCATATCATAACCAAATGAATGAGAAATAAGCCCTTAATTGTAAAGAATAATTAATACATGCCTAGATAAGAAGTGAGAGCCCACCGATTCCAACTCAGTGTCATTCTCTTCCCTTGCAAGCTTTATCATATCTATATGTTCAAGCAGTTCTTGCTCAAATGCCTTCACTTCTTTCATTTTACCCATTAGTGAGCCGTGCTCACGGCTTATCTTACTAGCATGGACAGGATCATTCCAAAGGTTAGGCTTGTTCAGCTCTGCTGATAACAAATCCAACCTAGCCATCAATTTCTTCCACTGCATTCACAGACAACAAAGAGCTTAACAAGCATGTTCTCAATACATATGCGACAGTCCACTAATAGGAAGATTATACTTGAAACTGAATCAAGTTACATAAAGCAGAAAGACAACAGCAGAAATTCATTAATCATTTCCTGTACATAGATAAATTCCAACATAAACTGTTAAAGAGATGTAAAAAATACCGAAACTCCAATATTAGTAGTACTACTCCAATCTCAAAACTTAATCTAATAAGATTACTAGGACCAAATTTTTAGTTACAACTGCCAAAAATTAAACCAGAAATGTTCAACATAAATTTATCTCGCATTGGATGCAAATATTGACCAAAATGCCAATAAAACTAATACCTGAAGGCGCTTCTTGATAACTTGAATGGACTGAGCAATTGCAGCAGCATGACTCTTCCAATCACTCTCACTCTCCACAACGATCATCCACTTACTGCCAACAATTCCATCAACTGTGAGCCCATCAGACGTACAAAGTTCAACAGCAGCCTGTGTTCCAAATTCTCTTGCAAAAATCCCGCCTTTTGGATTTAAATGCAAGAAATATAGATTTTGTAACCTCAAAAGACTTGAATTTGCCAGAGTACAAAAAGACCCAGATCGGTTTTTCATTGACTTTTTCAAAATTGATGACAACCCAGAACCCAAAACCTCGTGGTTTTGATTTGAATCTAGGAAATTGGGAACCAGCTGTGAGGAGCATACGTTTCTAGTTTTTGTTCTATGGTATTGAAATATAAGCAAGGATCCTTTATTTGATCTCTTCAGTATAAAAGGTGGCATCTTTATTGAAGGAAACAGAGAAAAAAGACTGATCGTTTCCTCCAAGGATTGGTCCTTGCAGCTCTGGGTTTTGGGGTTTGGGGGATATATCAGATCATAATGCTCAGAGAAGGGTTTATGAGAGTGCAAAAAACGGCACCGTTTTTGCACCCAGAGCAGGATAAAATGAGAGACCCAACTACCAACGGTAGAAACTGATACAAATGCCCTTCTTTTCCCTCCCCCAACAAAGCTTCTTCCTTTGTAGTCCAAAACCCTTGTCCAAATTCCCCAAAACCCTGCTCTTTCTCTGCCCTAAAATGTCTACAAACCCCAATTCCCACCAAAATTACCCAACACCTCTATCACCTCCCTTGCCATCAATCTCAAAAGACATCGAGCTTGCCAGAGCCATGACAGCTTCTTCAAAATCAAGCCTTTTTGAACTCTCAAGAAGTGATATTCTATATGAAGATGAGTGGCTCATTGCTGTCAACAAGCCTCAAGGGATTTATTGTGACAGCGTTCTGGCGTCTGTTCCTCGGTTTCTTTCTGACTCGACCGAGTTGGATCCACTCAGTGAAGGTCTGTCTATTCAGCCTTTTTTGTATTATGACTAATTGTAAAATATTGGTTTCTGGGTTGACTTGGATATGCTTAGAAGCAAAGTGTTCAATTTTTTTCAAGTAAAGTTATTCTCTAAGCTGAATTTAGCTATATAAGATATGCTTGCCAGAAACTTGTACTTTTCTTTTAAATGAACGCAGAAACTTGTACTTGGTTGTTGAAAGCTTCAATTTGTTCAAAACAGTTTATTTTTTGCAGTAAATGAAATATTAAGTTTGAAAATGTTGCTAGCTAATTTCTTTTTCAGTAGTCTTGTACAAAGCTCCTTTGCCACTGGATAAAGTCTAAAAAATGACCTTGTTGAACTATATAGTTAGATTGGACTGTTTAGGAGGAATATTGTTTCCTTATTCTATGGATGATGCCATGACAGTGGATTATCTATAGATTTCTTCTATGTGGAATAGAAAATTACATGGGCTTCACTTTATTTTATCATAAACGGATTTTCAGTTAGCTTGTGGAGTGGAAAAGCGCCATATTACAGACTATTATTGACTTTTGATAGTTCTTTGCACCTCTTAAGGAAGCCGTAATAACCAATATCAGAAGAAGCTTCCTTTTGATCTGCTTGAATCTTTTTCGTAACAAATGTTGACATATGTTCATATATTTCGCATTCCAGGGAACCAGGCCAGCCCATTTGAGCTCCATCTGGCCAATCGACTTGATCGTGACACAAGTGGTATCATGGTTATAACCAAGTCACACAAAGTAGCTGCTGCGCTTGTCAAAGCATTTACTAATCACATGGTTCGTAAAACATATGTTGCTTTCTGCATTGGTTCAGCTCCAAAATCAGAAAGAATTACAGTCAAATCAGGTCATGGTCGATCAAAGTTTGGAGCATGGCGTGTGTATGCTGCAGGAGACATAGGCCGAAAACTACCAGGTGGGTCCATAGTAAGGCACATGGAAACTACATTTGAAGTATTATCAATCAATGGACAGTGGAGCTACAAGGACCCATCTGAATCTGTGAAAGATGAAGAAACTAGTATTATAGTTGAAGAAAAAGCTGTTATAGATGTTGATACAAAGAAAGATGAGATTTTGGTCAGAGCATTTCCTCAAAGTGGAAGAACGCATCAAATTCGATTGCATTGCCAATATCTGGGGATTCCTATTAGAGGTGATGTGAAATACGAGGGTGTCTATGAGTGGAAAGGGAGAAGATATGATGCCCATGAGCTTCATGCAGAGAGCTTATCCTTTCAGCATCCAGTTACTGGTTTCCCTGTCTTGATTCAAGCACCTCTGCCTTTGTGGGCTAGCCAAGCACTGCAGCCTTTAACAGATTAAACGGCATCCTCTGTATTCATTCTGGAAATTTTGTTCTTTTGAAGATCCCCAAGAATGCGATAAGGTGCTCTGAGGATATTGACATATCATGCATTTTGCATGTAAGAACTGTTATAATAATGTTTATGGGGCACATCATTGTAGCTGATTCATTCCATATGGGCATTAACTCTACTTTTGCATTGCTAGGTTGTGCTATTTGTAGGGTTCTGCAATTCAACATGATTGCCAATTTGCCAAGCATTGTACGCCTCAATTTTGAGCAAAACCTCCGCCAGCTGTTTTTTCAGCCTTTGCCTCAACTCAGCTTCCTGACTGTACTGTTATGTGTATTCAAGACGTCATTATTTAAAGTTGGTATTTATTATTATCAACTCTAGTTTCTGTTTTTTTTTTTTTTTTTGAGAAATAATATTGCTGGAAAGCCAATTGGCTTCATTTACTTGTAAAGATCCAAATCCTGTGGATGATTTTGGAGGCAGCAAAACCTGAATTTATGTATGGTGACTCTCATAAACCTCTAGAATGTTGGTAATGGCTGAATTTAAATATGTTTTTCTAACAAATGGAAACACTATTAATTTGTGTAATTGCTATGCTTCTTTTCGTTTCTTTTCTATGTCGTTTTATTCACTGTGATGAACCAGAAACTAGTGTTGAGCTTTGTTGTAGCTGTAGCAAACATTTCTTCAGGAAACGCTTGATATGACTGCTACAGCCAACATATATAGAAGTTGCAGGTTCTGTAAAATTTCTTATCTTAAATACATGAAGGATGAAGATGGTTGATCAACTCAATAAAGAAACAGAGGGAAAGAGAAAAGAAAGGAAGGAAAGAAAAAAGGAAAAATTAACTAACTGGCGTGCAGATTTGTAATAAAGACGTGGTCAATATGGTAAAGAAACTTCTTGTGTGATATATGGTTTATTTTTCTCAAATATTCCTTCCTTGTTATTCTTATTATTGTTTGACAGTGATCTCAGAACAGCCTGATTGGACATACAGCATGGTTTACCTTGGTTGGTGTTAAGAATCTGCAATTTTTAATACTAGTTTGTTTACCATGTCTTTGTCAGAACCGTAAGATCTCAATTGAAGTAACCAATTGAACTGTGTAAAACCATGGACTTTCCCATGCTGTGTTGATATTCAAGGGACTTTCCCTGAAGATGAAAAACAGGTAAAGATTGTAGCTAGTCATCATCTGGAAAGCATGAAAGGAAGTGGTATTTGCATGGACCAATATTTATACTTGAAAATGATGGAAAAGATTCCAGGGTAAATAGATCTGCCCATGGTATTATCTTGTCTTGTAAGCAAGCACTGTCAAGCAAACAACTTCCCTGGGGAAAAAAAACAAAGCCACTTGTGTCATGTTACATGGCTTTTATCTGTGAAAAAAGGAACTCAGCAAAGAAAAAAGATTGGTTTGGTTATCTTGAAGAGTTGGGAACTCCAGAAACTCTATAGATTTCTACCAGAAATTTCGAGTACATGAAATATGTTCAGGTTTTGACATTGAATTTGATTCTACATGGCTTGTCTATTTCAAGGATTTGACCCTGCCTTGATCTTCAATGTGACTCGTTCTTTGTTTTTACTTTCCTGATTGTCAAATCAGTGGGTTAGGCTGTTGAACTTTCAAGCGCAGTCCCTAGGCGTGGCAGGTTTATCCACTGAAAATATTTTTTATATAATGCTTACATCGAATGGTGGCAACCAACTTTTCTAGTAATCAACCAGGACTTCCGATGATGGTCGGTGAGTTAAATTATAAACAAATCCAGCATGTTTCTTATAAAATTCACAGGGAAATCAGAATTCTCCCCACCTTGCAATACTCATTGGGATTAATTCTGACGACTTTTCAGCCTCTTTCTATGTTTATATAATTAAATAAAATTCTCGTGTTGAACTTCGGAGTTAAAACTTAGACGGAGAATATTGCAGTTTGAATTCCCAAATGAATAACAGCTAAAAAGGATGACTAAGCTCAAGCAATGTGAAGCTTCATGGAAAAGGAAAGGGGAAAGTCTGCATAAGAAAATTCTTAATTAGTCTTCTTCATGTGGGTTCGACTTGCATTGTTATCATCCAATTTTACAGTAAAGTAGGATGGGAGGAATGCAGCATGTGTGAACCTTCATGGTTAAGCAGTGGAAAGGTTTCGGAAGAAAATACATATTTTTTCTTCTCTCTCTCTCTCTCTAGTTCCTTAATGAACATTGCTTGTCAAAGACTTAACACAACTCAAAATGTCTAGAAACTCTCTTAAGATATAACTTTTGACACATGAAATATCATAATGGGTACAAACACTTGGTCAGAACAAACTTGGAATCCATTGATTTCCAGGTGGTTTCTCAAATTCAATTCAAAAATTAGAGTGATAATGACTCAAAGTGCAATGACATTGGCATACATTTGTTCGCAGCAGACTGATTGAGTTAAAATAATCAGAAGGAAGAGGCTAAAAGAGAGAAAAATTTCCCAGGTTTAAGCCGTCTATTTTGACCATCTAACTAAATATATATGTATTCAAAAGGTAGTAGATATTACTACATTTTTTGGTGGTTCTGGTTTATAGTAATGTGGACAAGTCAGAATAGACTTTGAATCCATCAAACCCCTCATTGATTCAATTCTTGGAAAGTGCCCGTTTCAATCCAAGTTTTTGTTCTGATGTACACCTCATAATTAATAAAATAATTAAAAAAAAGTTATGGTTGAAACCATTTAATACCATGTTGTATGAATTATAGAAGAGATAATAATAAGGATAATGATTTATTTTGATATCATGTTGAATTTTTAAGAAAAATATTTAGCTTAAAACATAAATAATGGATGAAGAACTTTTTATTATATTTATATGCTTATGTGTTCAATTTAAGAGATGATCACCACTTTAATATCCATCGATTAAAGCTTGCAATTCTACCCATAATGTTTTAAGAATGAGTCCAAAAAGAATAATCCATGAAGTCAATTAATGAATAATGAATTAAAAAATTGATTTACACTGGCATAGGATGAGGTGAATGTTATTAATTTGATCTTATCTTCTCACATTGTAAATGCTGGGTTTTTATCCAACTCTATCTATAAAGCCTGACAGAAACTTTACAACATAACCTCATGTAAATGGAGCACATTGGATAAAGACAGTGACAAAACTGATACCTGCTAATCAAAACAACTGGTAAAACACAATCCAAGGTTTAGAAGAATCTAAAGTTTGTCCCATCTGTCGTTCAAAACAACCAGTTTGCATATTTCAATAGCCATGCAGGGCCCCTAAGATCACTTTCAGCTTTTTGAGTCTGTACGCCAAACATCAGTTACCATCAAAGCACTTGCTATATTTTGCTAGCAGAAGCCAAGAAAATCAAAGTACTGAGGTTGTTGAGAGTTTGTGGAAATGAGTGCCATGGGTGAGGGTCTTACCCAGATACTGATACCTGTAGCTGCCCTGGTGGGCATTGGTTTTGCTTTGCTTCAATGGTTTTTGGTCTCCAGGGTGAAGGTCTCATCAAATGATTCCAGCAATGGATATAAAGAAAAGCTAATTGAAGCTGATGAAGAAGAAGAGGGTATCGACAATCTTGAGGTTTCCATCAAGTGTGCTGAGATTCAGCATGCAATTTCTGTTGGTGAGCTCTCTTTTCCTCTATTTCTCTCACTTCCATGTTGGTGCTTGAGCTTTCTGGGTTTTCCTTGTTGATGGTTAAGCGTATATTTTTATTGTCTTTTCTTCTACCTCTTATCCTTTCTGATATCCATGAGATGAATATAACTTATTAAGATAAGTCCAATGATATTATGTCATAAAGCCTGATGATCATGATTCATGGTGTCAGCAAAAAAAGAGAAAAATATGTATATTGATCATAATGCTATTTTATAATCTTGACTAGGCTATTTTGTAGTTTCTATCTTATTGTCGTTTCTGATGGTTCTTGGTGTTCAGATTCTTATTTCGGATAGAAATTTTTAGCTGTTTACTTTAGACCTAATGCTTTCTTCTTGTGCCCCTGCAATTGACAGATCAAGTTTTTCAGCAAATTCTGCCTAGTTTTGTTTTGTTCCTCAGTTTTGTTCCTTGTTTGATCCTTTCTCATCTTCTTTTTCAGATTCCTTAAGTATAACTTTGGGTTCTTCTCTCTGTTTGTCACTTATTGTTCTGGACTTTGATTTCCAATTTCTACAAGCAAGTCCTTTTTACCTTTTTCATTGGAGAATTCAGGTTCCCTCGTTGGTTATCTTAGGAATTCTGAAAACTTTTTATCAAAGTTAGCTTATCATCTTCTAGAGGGTTGTATGTTACATTTCTTGGACTGATCATTCTGATCAAGCAAATTTACTGTTCCTACACCTTGTACCATGATTATGGTAAAAAAATTTTATGCATCATTCATTGAAGTGTTTCAAACATAGAGTTTGGTTCATATTTTCTGCTGTTTTGTATTAACAACTGAGTTTTTTATGAATCTGTACCATGTTTCCAGGTGCAACCTCTTTCCTCTTTACTGAGTACAAGTACCTCGGTATCTTCATGGGTGTATTTGGTGCCATCATCTTCCTCTTCCTTGGTTCAGTTAGGAGCTTCAGCACCAAAAGTGAACCCTGCACATACAACCAGGGCAACACCTGCAAACCAGCCCTGGCAAATGCCTTCTTTAGCACGATTGCTTTCTTACTGGGGGCGCTAACCTCTGTCCTCTCAGGTTTTCTAGGGATGAAAATTGCAACTTATGCCAATGCTAGAACAACTCTAGAAGCAAGGAAAGGTGTTGGGAAGGCATTTATAACAGCTTTTCGCTCTGGCTCAGTCATGGGTTTCCTTCTTGCTGCCAATGGCCTTTTTGTGCTCTATGTATCCATCAATTTGTTTAAGCTGTACTATGGTGATGACTGGGAGGGACTTTATGAATCTATTACTGGTTATGGTCTCGGTGGTTCTTCTATGGCCCTCTTTGGAAGAGTTGGGGGAGGAATATACACTAAAGCAGCTGATGTTGGTGCTGATCTTGTTGGTAAAGTGGAACGAAATATCCCTGAAGATGATCCACGAAATCCAGCTGTAAGTTCCCACAATTCCTCCTCCACTTTGCTGGACCTATTTGCTTTGACTAAGTTCTGTTTCATTATTTAGATTCTTTCCATTTACAACCAGAAGAGCAGTAACTGAGCTTTGCAGAATTGTTTTAGTTCTAGAATTTGTTGAAATTTGACTGCGAATCCAAAAGCAAATGCTTCTTCATTCCTCTATGCATCACTTTCTACCCACTTAAGCAACAACCTCTCCTCATTTGTCTCAGCATTTTAAACCGAGCTAGATAGTTCTCAAGTTACTAATGCCACTTAGATTGTGAAGGATTAACATTTTTTTTCTTACACCTAACTTTGTGGCACTTATTACAGGTCATTGCTGATAATGTGGGTGACAATGTAGGAGATATTGCTGGCATGGGTTCTGATCTATTCGGGTCTTATGCTGAATCATCATGTGCAGCTCTTTTTGTTGCATCTATATCATCCTTCGGGATCGGTCATGACTTTACAGCAATGTCTTATCCCTTGATCATAAGCTCAATGGGAATTGTGGTTTGCTTGATAACTACACTCTTTGCAACTGATCTGTTCGAGATTAAGAATGTGAGTGAAATTGAACCATCCTTGAAACGGCAACTCCTTATCTCCACTGTTCTGATGACTGCTGGGATCGCTGTGGTGAGCTTCTTTGCATTGCCATCAGAATTCACTCTCTATAATTTTGGAACCGAAAAGGAAGTGAAGAATTGGTATGCAACTAGTAAACTGTTATCTCTTTGTTTGAAGGTTTCATGCCCTTTTCTTTGTATAAGGATTATCGATTATGTTTAATGCAGGCACCTTTTCTTCTGTGTTGCTATTGGCTTGTGGGCTGGACTTGTCATTGGGTATACTACAGAATATTACACAAGCAATGCTTATAGGTTAGTATCTTTGCATGCGTATTGCCAGGAGAGCTCTTCCTTCTTCATGTTGGTTGTTAATTGGAAGACTAGAATCGAAATAAATAACTCTTGGAATACTTGCAGTCCGGTGCAGGATGTGGCAGATTCTTGCAGAACAGGCGCTGCAACAAATGTGATTTTTGGGTTGGCTCTGGGATACAAATCTGTCATCATTCCCATATTTGCCATTGCCATTGCTATCTATGTGAGCTTTAGCCTGGCTGCGATGTATGGGATTGCTGTGGCCGCTTTGGGAATGCTCAGTACTATAGCCACCGGTCTCGCAATCGATGCTTATGGTCCCATAAGTGACAATGCTGGTGGTATTGCAGAAATGGCTGGAATGAGTCACAAGATACGTGAGAGAACAGATGCTCTAGATGCAGCAGGAAACACCACTGCTGCTATTGGCAAGGTGAGGTTTATGTTGATTCCACGTGATCTTTTACAATTCAAATTCATTGTCTTATGTTCTGCTATTTTCATTTCAGGGTTTTGCAATTGGGTCAGCAGCACTCGTTTCTCTTGCTTTGTTCGGTGCCTATGTTAGCAGAGCAGGCATCAAGTCAGTCGATGTACTGACACCAAAGGTTTTCATTGGGCTGATAGTCGGAGCCATGCTCCCTACTGGTTTTCAGCCATGACGATGAAGAGCGGTGGGAAGTGCAGCTCTCAAAATGGTTGAAGAGGTTCGTCGGCAATTCAACACGATGCCAGGACTAATGGAAGGCAGGACGAAACCAGACTATGCAAACTGTGTCAAGATTTCAACCGATGCCTCACTCAAGGAAATGATCCCACCCGGTGCTCTTGTCATGCTTACTCTCACTCATTGCTGGAACCTTCTTTGGAGTCGAAACTCTTGCTGGTGTTCTTGCTGGCTCACTTGTTTCTGGTGTCCAGGTACCCTGTTACCAATACTTTTCGATACTTTCACAAGTATTTGTCCGGACTTCATTGATTTCTCCACGCAAAGCATTGTTTCTGCTACACAAAAATTTTGTCGCAGGCTTGTGTCTGAACGTGTCAGGATCACCTATTCACATCAACATTGTTTTGTTTTTCTTCCTTAGGTTGCCATCTCAGCTTCCAACACAGGAGGAGCATGGGATAATGCCAAGAAATACATTGAGGTAAAACTAACATTATATCCATATCTGTTTCTGTCCCCATTTTCTCCATGCTTTAATGTTGACTTTCTGCATGCAGGCCGGTGCTAGCGAGCACGCCAAGTCGTTGGGTCCAAAGGGTTCGGATTGCCACAAGGCTGCAGTGATTGGTGACACAATTGGAGATCCCCTCAAGGACACTTCCGGACCATCACTCAACATTCTGATCAAGCTCATGGCAGTCGAGTCATTGGTGTTTGCTCCTTTCTTTGCCGCTCATGGAGGCTTGCTCTTCAAATTGCTCTGAGTTTTTAAGTCCCGGTACATATATGTTCAGCAGAGAAATGGAACTTTTCTGTAACTTAGTAGTTCCAATATGTAAAGGAAAATTCAAGCTTGTGTTTGGTGCTGTCAGTTACCTAATTTTAATATCAATATGATAAGTTTAATTAATATCATATTTTTCTATTACAAAATTATGCAATCTTTAGTTTTGTTAATTTGGTTCACATAACACCCGAAATATTTGTTTAATAGCTAATGTATAAATCTAATTTTATATGGTTAGAAATTTAAAATTTTTTTGAATCGATGATATTGTTATGAGTTCATATTTTCAAATTGATATAGAAATTTATAATATTTTTTTTATTTAATTGTACAACATTTTCATTGCATTAATTTTTTTATCCATAAAAAAAGTTTATGTCTAATATCTTTTATAAAATATCTCACATCAATAAAGAGTTGATAATATCTCAAAAACCCTAATTCTTAAACCAAAAAAATATAAAGCATGTTGATTTTGCTCGATGCCAACGGCAAAAGACCATGATAAATTTGCTGAGAACAAGTCACGTTGTGCAATGAGTTTTGAGTGGCTTCCAATCCAAGCATAAAATACAAATATAAATAGAGAAGCAAAAACAAGTGCCGGCCTTGGCCCACTTTAGAAGAATTTTGGATAGAGTACTCATGGCCTACCAACATTATCTTATTTGATGGACTTACCTCTCTAATTAAACACCGACCCAAAAAATTGCGATAGAATTAAAGAATAATCCTAATGTGTTTATTAATCTAAAGATAAATTTTGATAAAAATGTTGATATATTTCTAATTTTTTTCATTTTATCACAAAAAAGATGACTGTCTTATTTATCCAGAAAATCTCTTTTAATGTGGTTGTAATTGTTGGTATGTTAATGACTTAGATAATAATAATAATAATAATAATAATAATAAACTTTGAATTAATCCATTTATACAACTAAGTTTTCTAATTTTTTATTGAATAAATTTTTATTTTTTATTTTGTACCGGTATAAGTCTTTAATTTAAAAAATAAATAAATAATATTTAGAACTAATATTAGTTAACATTTGATGTGATCATGCGACTCATTCCAATGTGGATGGATTTATCTAGAAGATAATGTTCTAATCTAAGGGCGAATAAGTAATTAATTACAATAATTAAATCCTACTCCTAAATAGGAAATTAAAATAATCCACGGGCACAAAATAACTTCATGGGTGGGGCCCTCTCTATGAACCACTGCCTCCTTGCCACGTGTATCGGATTCCAACTAAACCTGATACGTACCCATGAAACTCGTAGCAAAAGAGGTCAAAACTCCTCCTGCGTGTCACGTGAAATTCCTGGCCAATAATTTGTTTCCACGTCAGTATAATGACACTTAGGAATGACGTGTAGCCCGACCATTCGTTCTCGTCATTTATTTCAGTCCACGTCAGAAATAACCGAGAGTAAATCCTCATTTTTAACTGGACTGTAGAAACCGGAGAAATCAACGACTATATAAAGGGTACCCGTCACTCTCTCTCAGAGTGCAGCTCAACTTTTCTCTTCGCTGAAGCTCAACCATGGCTATTCGCGAACGAAACCCTAGTGTTCTCTGTCTAATCCTTGTCTCTCTCATCGCCGTCGCCTCTGCTAAAGTGTTCTTCGAAGAACGCTTCGAAGGTAGAACTCTTTCTTGTTCATTTCCTCCGCTTTCTCTTACTAAATCTGTGCGTTGTATCTGAAACTCTAGATCGGCTTGTTTTTGGCACTCGAATCTGTTTTCTAGAGATTTAAGCTTTCAATTTGATCGAATTTGGAAGGATCGATGGTTTTCATGTGTTAAGTTGTCGATCTGGTTGTTCTCGATTGGTTCCTTAGTCAAATGCTTAATTACGTTTGAAATTGCGGTTAATTCAAGTAGATCTGCAGATAATCTGATTTCATTGTTCGGTTCTAGGTTTTTTTTTAAAAAATAGCATTAGAATGTAGTAGTTTAATTTAAGGTAAGAAATGACGGTGAATGTTATAGTGTGTAGTGTTGCAATTGATCTGTAAATGTAGCAGATAATAAAATGGAATGAAGATTAATATTATTATTCTGCGCTTATTTATATTATTTTTTATTTGATTGATAATTGTGAGGTGAGTATTTGTTTCTGCAAGAACGTAGATTAAGGGAATGAAAGCAGTAGATTTTAGCAATGTGAGAAGGAATAATTAAAAGTTATTGTCCTTTTTTAGCATAATTGATATCAGACTCTTGTAGAAAGTGTATTGACCTTTTAGGTGCTATGCCTAAGATTCTGCATTCTTTTTAACAAATAAAAAAGAATTTATGAAAACAAAGCTGCTTCTGCTTTAACTGTACTTTTTTATAAAGTATGTTTTACTGTTTCTAAGTGGCACAATTTCGCTTTTTTATGCTGATTTTACTTTTCTGTTGTTGTGAAACTGAAGTTGGATGGGAGAACCAGTGGGTAAAATCTGACTGGAAGAAAGATGAGAAAATGGCTGGTGAATGGAACTTCACTTCTGGAAAATGGAATGGAGACCCTAATGACAAAGGTAAGTTTCTGGAATTACTCATAGATTGGTATTCATAAGGTAGCTTTCAACTCAGATCCTCTTTTTCAAGTTAGTTACTAATTGCTTTGCCTTTTGTTCAGGTATTCAAACTAGTGAAGACTACAGGTTCTATGCTATTTCGGCTGAGTTCCCAGAAGTTAACAACAAGGACAAGACTCTTGTTTTCCAATTTTCTGTCAAGCATGAGCAGAAGCTTGACTGTGGTGGTGGCTACATGAAGTTGCTTAGCGGTGATGTTGACCAGAAGAAATTTGGTGGTGACACCCCATACAGGTTATTTAGTCCCCTACGATCTAACCTGTTCGTATCTCTAAAAGATATTATTTTTATAGATTTACTGATATTTTGTTATGTTGGTGGGTTGCAGCATTATGTTTGGACCAGATATCTGTGGTTACAGCACCAAGAAAGTACATGCTATTCTTACCTACAACGAGACAAACCACTTGATCAAGAAGGAAGTTCCTTGTGAGACTGACCAACTCACTCACGTTTATACATTCATTCTCCGCCCAGATGCTACCTACAGCATCCTTATCGATAATGTTGAGAAACAAACTGGTAGCTTGTACACTGATTGGGATCTTCTCCCACCAAAGCAAATCAAGGATCCTGAGGCCAAGAAGGTAATCACTCACACCTAATCTCAATTGATGTCGTCTTTTTTTGAATTTTGAGTACAATCTAAGTTCTTTGCATGATGGGTAGCCTGAAGATTGGGATGAAAAAGAATACATCCCTGATCCTGAAGACAAGAAGCCTGAGGTAATAAGCTCCTCACTTTTCCCCTTCCTCCATTCTCTTATTCTAAATTTATATATACTGCTTGAATATGCCTAGGCAAGCTGACCTCTAGTGTTTTGGTTCCTATAGGGTTATGATGACATCCCTAAAGAGATCCCTGACACTGATGCTAAGAAGGTATTCACTTAATTCTTTCTGGAATGCTTTTGTTATGAAATTCAGTGCCTTGTTTGAAACAAAGATTAATGCTTAACGTCATTTACACCAGCCTGAAGATTGGGATGATGAAGAAGATGGTGAATGGACAGCCCCAACAATTGCCAACCCTGAGTACAAGGGCCCATGGAAGCCTAAGGTTTGTGAAATCCTGATCTAAGGCAGCGTTTAATAGGATTTTAAATTAGTTATGTGCATAACCATTCCTCCTTTATCTACAGAAAATTAAGAACCCCAACTACAAGGGCAAGTGGAAGGCACCGCTCATTGACAACCCAGGTTTATTGCTATTTCTTTTCTATCTTGCCATTTCCTTTTTATTGTCATCAACAGATTTTAGGTTACTTATTATTGTGTGTTTTCTATGGCCCACCTAGACTTCAAGGATGATCCTGATCTCTATGTTTTCCCCAAGTTGAAGTATGTTGGTATTGAATTGTGGCAGGTATTCTTTTGCCTCTTTTTTTTTTTTTTTTACTCCTATGCTATTATGATTCCATGCCTTTCAGAACTATAACAAGGTAGATGTTTGTTTTTGTCAGGTGAAATCAGGGACATTGTTTGATAATGTCTTAGTCGCTGATGATCCAGAGTATGCCAAGACACTAGCCGAAGAAACATGGGGCAAGCAGAAGGATGTATGTGCTTCTCTGTATTTCAATTTTTTATTTTTTTCCTTTAAGTTCTTTTTGTCATATTTGGCTGATGTTATTGTTTTTGCAGGCTGAGAAGGCAGCATTTGAGGAGGCAGAGAAGAAGAGAGAGGAGGAGGTATTTTCTTGACTAGAATTGTCTGAGTTCTGTCTTATGTGCATTTTTTTTAACACTCATTCCATTTCCGTTCTAACTAATGTAAACATGATCTTCAGGAATCAAAGGATGACCCAGTTGATTCTGATGTAAGCCTACAACAAGCTTTCTTAAGAATATGATTGATCTGTTTGCTATCATTCTGGTTTTCATTTTGTTTTACTGACTTTCCAGGTTGAGGATGAAGATGACACTGATGATGCTGAAGGAAATGAGACTGACTCCGACACCAAAACCGATGCAAGCAAAGACAGTGAGGAGATCAAGGAAGAGACCGAGGAAGATGTACATGTAAGTACTTGAAACTTTCCCTACCTCGCAATTCAATTTTATCAGTTGCAATGTTAAATTGATGGATAAATTGTATTTGGAATGCAGGACGAGCTGTAAGGCAAGAGCACTGCAGTATTTTGCTGACAATTCGGTTTGGAGATAAACGCGCCACACAAAAGTGCTCCAAAATTATTTTTTTTTCCAGTTAGCTCTTTTTTTAAATTTGTAGCTGTAGGAGTTTTCTGTTAGAGGGGAAAACAAATTGAAAGGCTGCACGCAAACTGAACTGTGGGTGATTTGTCTTTTTATAAATCTGATTTTAATTGTGGGCCTTTTACAACAAAGAGGATGATGTGTTTTTTCATTTGATGATCAGATTTGTGAAATACTTTGAACAATTCAGGTCATTTACATGTTTGACGCCTCTGCCTTTTCCTTTAATTTCTCTGCAAATATTAGTATTTTCTGGTATGATAAGTACTTATTTAAAGATGAATTCATAGATTTACATGTAAAATATCAAAAATCAAATCAATAAGTTTTATTTATTTTTTTAGCAAATATTTATATTTTTAGCATGATATATGTAATTATCAGATATGAATTCGAAATTGAATTCGTTACTTTACTTATAAATTTGAAAATGAATTCATCGGGATTGTTGGGCCTGATAGAGAAACAATGCAACTGCCAACACGAACTTCATTGAAATTTAATTTCCAGCTAAAAAATCTGTTTCCAATTCAGGAAAGAAAAGGATGCCCTACTCTGCAAAAACTACTCTGTTTTTCTTCCTCCTTTTTGTTCATTTACTATCGATCCTTTGAATAACCTCTAGCAATTTATCCACTTGCAATGGTTTAGTCAAATGGAAATCCATCCCAGCGCCAATAGTCCTGTTTGCTTCCTCTGGCATAGCATGTGCTGTTACCGCTATGATGGGGACATGGACACCATACCTCTCCTCCTCCATTCGTATCAGTCTCGTTGCTTCGTACCCGTCCATCACCGGCATCTGCAAAAAGAAACAGAGCAATGACATGTTTTCATACTTCTTAGAACTTCCATGTTGAAACCCAGAAGTTAGTAAAAGTACCTCGCAGTCCATGATGATGTAATCCTGGCGGACACCCTGGGAGGAGTTCCCTTCCTTTTTCTCTCTCAAATTCTTGCAGATTTCATCCAAGGCCTCTTTCCCATTTATACAGACTTCAACTTCTGCTCCCAGTTTCTCAAGACTGGTGACTGTCAACCTGCGCAACAGCTTATCATCTTCCACCACCAGAAACTTCTTCCCTTTTAAGGGTTTCCCCATTCTTTTCCCGTCAGTTTTCTGTATCACCATCTTCTGCAGTGAGGGCCCGGACTCAGTCTCCTTTGAACGGTTCGTGTTAGCAGAATGCATGGCTTCCAGGGTTGCTGTCTGGTTTGTTAACTTGGGGAAGTTGCAATGAGATGGGCCTTTGCGTTCAGGAAGCAGATGGAGAACTTGGGTCAAGCGTGATCCGTGGAAAGGTTTATATATGAGGTGATCGCATGGAGGGATTAGCCTGGCATCCTGCTCGTCTCTCAGAAGTGTACGAGTGACAGGGTTATCTAACCAAACAACCTTACACAAGGAATCGGGAATGTCTGTCCTGAAGCTGGCAACAGCAGAGCACAATTCGGAGAAATTACCAGCACTGGAATCGATTACAACTACCGTGAAAGGTACACCACTTCTAGAGTTGCTCTTTATGAATTGTGGCAAAACACTGTCACTTCCTTCCTTGATGCCAAAATGTGGATCACTTGCTCCTGAATCAGAACTGTTTGATGCAGATTTGGTGAGGTAGTCGATTAATCTCAAATCGGGCTTCCCAGAATGATTGCAGTGAGAAAAATCCAACTTGCGCTTTATCTTTTCAAGCTCTTGGTGAAGACTCTTCCCTTGTTTTACTAATGTCACTTTTATGTATAAGTTCTCTATGTATCTCTTTAAAACTCTCTTCCTTTCCTCCCCAGTTATGCAGAGAATCACATGGGAATGGGATCCCTCTGATCTAGCTGCAGGGTTCCTGATAAATGAAAAATGTGGATGAAATCCATTCGGAGAGTCTTCTAAAGGTTCAGCCACCTCAGGTTGACATGCGGTAAGCAGAACAGTGAACCTGAAACAAGTGCCTCTTTCACCAGGCTCTTTCTCAACAATTCCTATTTCTCCATCCATCAGGCGCACCTACAAACAAAGACAATGAATCTTTCAGTTCCTGTCCGATCTGACTACAATGACATGTATGATCATAAACTTACTGATCTTGTTAATACCGCAAAGCAGAAATAACTACACTGCTTTCCTTAGAGAAAGAGCAATCAATTATATATTAACCAACTTTTACTTTCAACAAGTTTCAATCACTTACAATAGATTGGACAATGCCAAGTCCCAGACCACAACCTTCTTCTTCAAGACCCCGGCCACCGGCAAGAGCTGTTTCCTTAACCTGAAAAAACTCTTCATAAATAGATGCTTGCTTGTCTTTGGGAATTCCCTTGCCTGTATCATCCACCTCAAATTCAAACTCCATTTTGTTGAGATTCTGTTCAGCTCTATGAAGGGCATCTATATCCTCATAGTCTTCTGTCTTGCAGAACAACTGCGATAGGCACTTCAATACTGCATTGCCATTAGAAGCAATGATTTTTTTCTCAAAGCTTCTCTTCTTGACGACTGCACGAACTGAGACATGACCTTCTGATGTATACTTGATAGCATTGCTGAGTAAGTTACATAGAATTTGTTTGAGCTTAACTCTGTCGCCTCTCACCAGAGATAATTTCCCAATGGAACCATCACAAGGATCAAGCACAACATCTATGCCCTTCTTGATACCTAAAGGATAGAACATATCAACAACATCCTCAAGGAGTTGAGCCAAGTTGAATTCTTCTTCTTCAAGATCCATTTTCCCAGCTTCAATTTTACTCATCTTCAGAACAGAATTTAATATGCCTGAATGATTTATCAGAACAAGCACAAAGCATTAATGTAGTGAATAATTCATAGATTCTTTGTTTCAGCTTTGCGGTAGTAAATTAATGGAAAATATTTTATTCTATGATGCAACTGCAGCCAACATGTAAACCTCAAGTATATGTCAATATATGTATAAATAAGAAAAGGAATCTCATTTGTTATCGGGTCAGGGTTTGGACAGCAATGGGAAGTAACAGAGACAAAAGGAGGTAGCAAACTCACCTAGGAGGTCCTTTGCACAAGTCTTTGTTTGAGCCAAATTTTCAGCTAACTCGGAGGCAGGATTGACTTCATCATGACAAAGATCCAGCAAAGTTGTGATTGCTGCCAAGGAAGATCGGATGTCATGGTTTGCCCTCAAATAGGTTTGAGTTTTGAACATGCTCTTGCGCTCTGCTTGTTGAGTTGAATTCATTTGCTTCACTAAAGCAGCACATAAGAACATTTCTCTTTTTGCAGCTCTGATGGTGAAGAAAATGAAGATGCTGACTGCCACAACTATGGATATAAACATGAGCTTGAGAAGCATCAATGATAGCTTGCTGTTCTTTTGGATTTGGCCTACCAGCTTATTGCTGGGATAAGCTAACACATATACCTGAAAATTCAAGTTGTATGAGTTTTGATCAGCTTAATTAACAAAATATTTAGCTTGCATTCTGAAACTCTGACCAAAGGCCTTCCATTGATGCAGAAAGACTTACAGAAGGAACTCCAGCAATCTCAATGGTGGAGCAATAAAATGTGTACTTCTCTCCCATGATTCTGCCATTAAAGGATCCTAATTTCCCATCAGCAGATACACATGAAACATTACCTACACCACGTATTTGGTGACCACGAGGTCTCAGTGATTGAACAGACACTGTGCTATTCTGTACTACTATCTCAGTATTTGGAAGCCTTGTTTGCACAATCACATCTCCTTCAGCAGTAGCCAGGTGAAAATCCCCTCCGTTAAAATCTAATGCAGCGAAATGATCGATAACCACTTTAGCAGGAAATCCAACAGATACAACACCCCTTCCATCCATAGCAACAGTGGTAAAAAATAGGCTATCTTGAGCATTGTTCCATCCTTTGCCTAGTGAACAGTACCCATTCGTCCGATTCAAGGATTCCTGAAACCAGCTTTCGTTCATGCTAACCACAGCTTTCGAAGCAACAGCCTCCCCATATAACATCCCAGTATCACGGTTCACTGGCATACTATACCAATTCGAAGAAAAGGAAGTGTTGGAAAACACTGCTACCTTCTGGTCCTTGTCATTGTAATATGAAAAAATTAGTCCATTCAATCCAATGTAGGAAATCTGTGCTAGATGTGGAATCGTTGAGAGGGCAACAAACAATACTGGCGCAATCTGAAATAGAACAAAAACACTAGTAAACAATACCTTTGTCGGATGAATTATTAACGCGACAACTTCATTAGACATGTACCTTTGTTTGAATTGCAACAAATGGTAGTTCAGTTCCATTTAGAATTGAACTCAGTGATCTTGCTAAATTCAATGCTGATGTGTTTAGAGGAAGTAGCAATCTCGAAGTTGCTTCAATACCCAAAAATGATTTCTCGCCTTGTACATATGAATCCGACATGACACTGTTTCTAGTTTGTTTGGTCAGCATGCACAACTTTAAGGTTAAATATCCACATACGCCCTGCCATCAAGTCAAGATGGGGTAAATACATGCTTCAGCTGAGAAAAAGAAGAAATAAAATATTTAAGAAGAAGGAAGAATTGGAGATAAATTATGAAGGTGAGAATTACTAATATGAGAATGGAACAAGCTGGCCGGAAAATTATTTTGGGGCAATGCTTCTGCATATTGAGCTTGGATTTCATGGCTTAGGCCCTGTGCCTGGCAGCTTCATCTCTGCTTCCTCAAAATTTTGAGTGGTTGTTTGTCAGAATAGATAGTGTCTGCTAATTCAATGCAATGCAATGCAGACACTTTCTTTTAACTTCATATCGTTAGCCATGGCAAGAATGGGCAATCAGGACAAGGCGAGTGGCCAATGATGAAAACATTCACCAGGTTACAGTATTTAAATTCAAAGATACGACAATCAAGGAAACTGATAAACAGTCTTTTTTGAAAAAAGTATTTGAATCAAAGCTGTTGCCTGCAATTGAATCTTGGCTTTCTCATTGCTTGAATTTGAATATAATGCATACTCCTATCCTGGTAGGACTCTTGGTAAAGCAAGAAGTAGAAGAAGTACAAGAGAAAGAGAATGACCAATCTCAAACAAAGAAATGACAGGAAAAATGATGACAGCAGATAAAATTCATTTCCATTTCCTGTTCAGAAATCAGGGAAAAAGTCTTCAGAAAAAATACTGAAAAGATAATTGACGGACAGCTCACCATCATCATGCATGACAATGACAGTGTTGTGACAGGAGAAAGACATGACATTTCTTAATTGGGATGAGATGCTTGCAACAGAAGGGAATAAAAAAGGAAACAACTTCTTATCCAACTTAAGAGAATTAAAGAGAGAGAGGTTCAAGCAAAATATCTGCTAGAGGGTTGAACTGAAAGAGAAATAATAGGAGTTTGAGGAAAATCTGGGAGAAATCCTGTGCAAACAGATTCCAAGATAATTGCCAAGTGGTAGCTCAAACAAATGTCAAAACTGGGGGCACTGAGCAGAATTTTGAAGTCCCATGGAGGATGGAGCTATTAGACTATCAGGCTATCCGAACAACTTATGTTCATATGAGCCATTGAATTTTAAACCCCTTAAAATGAGGGTGGAAAAATATTGAATTGATTCTTGCAAAATGGAGATAAAAAGATTTTAAATTCGAATTTTACTGCATTTCTCTCTGCAATCGTAAATTGTTAATGTATATTGAGATTAATTATAGCATGAAAAAGCTTACGGATGTCATGTTTCCCAACTTCTTTCCCATTTTTCAGAAAATTTTTCTTTTTCTTGTCACTTTCAATTCTCCTGCAACATTCAGGAACTTCCAGTTCCAATCTTGTGTTGGCCAAATATTAGAGTTCTGATTAAAGAAAACACTGTAAAGCAGAGTAACATGACAGCAAATCGATTCCAAGTATGGAAGTATGGAACTAAATCATCGAGAAGGAACTCTATAGTCTATATTTTACATACAAGGGGAGGTCCGGCAATTTACATGAAACCTGAAACAACTGACAGAAATTAGGAAAGGACCAAACAAGCAGACAAAAAGATTGTGAAATGAAGCGGACGACAGAATTCTAAACAATGGACCAAACAAGGAGCTGAATTTCAGACATGGAAGAATCTTTGTATCCCCAATCATTTGGTTCCTGAAGAGGAACATTTAGGCTTCTTGACAATCAGCACAGGGCACTTCACATTCTGTGCACAGTGATTGCTGACACTCCCCAAGAAAGCCCTGCAATTTCCATAGTTAAATTGAAATCTGTTAGATTCAAAGCCAAAACCATTGGAAACCAACATTGTTAACATGCAATCATGTGGTGATACTGCCACAACTGTTACTATGTTGAAAGGAAGCGGGTACCTCTTGATCAGGCCATAGCCATGGCTTCCCATGACTAACACGTCAACATTGATCTTCTCAGCAACCTGGCAAATCACGTCCCTTGGATCACCACTCTCTACTCTCGCCTCCACCTTAACCTGACCCAAAAAGGGCATTCAAGTCAAATCCAACACTACCATTTTTCAAAAGACAATTTCGACTCTCGAAATTATTGCAATTACTAGAACAGTAGAACCCACCTCATTGGCTTGCTCCCTGCACATCCTCTTAGCCTTGTCGATGACAGAAGCCGCCACATCGTTGCTGTACTTGTCCATGGTGGCCAAAATATCAGCAGAAAACAGGTATCCTGAAACGAGAACACAATTACAAAAACATCATCAGATCAGCTCGTCGCTTCCTGCCACCAAAAATGCCTGAAAGACTCACACAAAATACCTTGAAGGTGCGATCTCCTACCTGTGCCATCTAGCGCAGAGTACACTGCACGTGGAGGTTTAGCGTAAAGGAGGATAAGGGTATCTTTAGAATTTTCAGAAATCACGTTCTTGAGGCACCATGAGAGAGCGTACATGCTCTCCTCGCCTTCATCGATGGCCACCAGGATCTTCCGCTCTTTGGGTACAACATCAGCCATTGATTATTCTTGATATCAGACAGTTGGAGACTCTGGAAATGAACAGTTGAAAGTATAACTTTTTGATGGATTGTTGAGAGGGTGTGAAATGACAGTGTTGTATTTATAAGGAGGAGTGTTTCGGGAGGGAAAATCTGTGGGTTCTGCGAGTTTTGGGCTTTGGGGTCGTCAGGTTGCTGGTTTTGTAAGACAGTAGATGGTTTTGGTCTGTTCAACCTATCTATATCTTGTCTGGTTTTTGTATGCGGTCATGGTGTTTGTTTTGTTCTGTCTATCTGGTTGTGGCAACCGAGTCTAACCGTGTTGGCCAATGCTTCATTTGACACAACCTTCCCACCTGCCTACCAACACTTGGATTCACCATCACGACTGATTCTTTTAACATCAATAACAACTGTGTTCTCTCTTCTCGATTAAACCCATTCTCAATATATATTTTCCATAAGATTTCAGGTTCAAATCCGAACCCATTTCTCATTTTCTCCTCCTAAAATGGTTTCATATAAGGCAAAGCAAAATCTTCATTGTTTCACATACAAGTAAGAGGTAATGTGTGTCAAACGTCAACGAATCCTTGAAGAAAGAAAAAGAGAAATGGAGGATTAATGTGAGATTGTAGGGTTAAGATGAGGCTCAAGCCCTTTGGTTAATTTTATGTTATGATGATTCTATTCTTGACCCCGAGAAGGTACTTTCAGACAATGGTTCCCTTGGAATCAAGTCCTAGTGCATATACATACATATATATATATATATATATACATAAAATAAAACAATTCAATTCATAGATCCTCTCTAGGAAAATTTCTACTTTACTAGAGTAACTTTGGAATTTCAGATATTATACTTTAAGTGGATTGAATGCATGGACACGCAGTAATGTGAATTTTCAGTCAAATTTTTATATAAAATAATCAAAATCCATGATATATTAATTATGTATAAACATGTGTCTAATATGAATATTTAATGCATGTAGCCCATTTAGCCATCTTGTTGCAAAAAGGAAAGCCCAAAGTATCCGAGTTGGGCCCAAGGTTCTAGAAGATTCTTGATCAAATCATCGAATTTTGATTATTCTTCTAAGTGGTGGCTTTGCTTTTATTTTAAAAAACAAAAAATTGCTGGCTATAAAATACAAATTCCATCACCAAAACCGGCGCCGTTTAGTAGGATGCCCAGCGAAGACCGAGGCCCGATATGTCACTTTCTCCCACTGGAAGGTAGATGCGAAAGATCAATTGATTTCACAACGAACGGCCCAGATTGACCCATCATCGCCAACTACCCCCTAGTCAAAGCACCTGATTGGTCCGAACAACTCGCCCAGTCAAACTTCGCCAACTCACCCTCCGTTATATACCCACCAACACACTCACTCCCTCTCCAACCAAATTTTGACTCTTTGTCTCTCTAGATTTTTTTTTTTGGGGGGTTTTGACCTTTGAACGATTTTTAATAAGAAAGATTCAATTTTTTGTTTTGGGAATTTTTTTTTCTTATAGGGTAATTTTTTAAAAAAAATTTTAGTGAAGGAATTAAACCATGTTTTTCCTGGATTGGTTCTACGGAGTCCTTGCTTCCCTTGGTTTATGGCAAAAAGAGGCCAAGATCTTGTTTTTGGGGCTTGATAATGCCGGCAAAACGACGCTGCTTCACATGCTCAAAGATGAGGTATTTTCTATAATTTGCACCCCATTAATTATTATTTTGAATTTATTTTTTATATGGTTCCCGAAATGAATTTCGCTGTACTCAAATCAGTTTGCAATTTTAGGAATTAGATTTGTGATTTAACAATGAATTTTGTAATAAAGTTGTAATATTTCCGAGTTAACCATGATTTTAATGCTAATAAACCTTTAATTAAAGGTAATTAAGGTTATGAAAACTTGTTTTACTCTTGTACTATTGATGGGATTTGGTAAAGATTAAGTCTTTTGACTGAAATTGTTGTTTAGCAAAAGAAGGGGATAAGAAGGGTTTGATTGATTTCTTTAATGGTAAAGTGATTGAAAGTTGGGTTTTTTATTGGATGTTGGTAATGAGATTTTTGCAGAGATTAGTTCAGCATCAGCCAACACAGCATCCCACATCAGAGGAATTGAGTATTGGGCAAATCAAGTTTAAAGCTTTTGATTTAGGAGGTCATCAGATCGCTCGAAGAGTGTGGAAAGATTACTACGCCAAGGTATATTTCTTCCCCCGCAAATTCCAATATGATTATATTCTGTTTGTAGACAAAAACTTTGCACTTCTCTTGCAATTTTTAAATGCTATTTGATCTTTTTTTTTGTTTTTACCTAAAGTATTCTTTCATGATGTGGAGATAGATTTCATTATTTATAAATGTTAGCTCTTTATGATTTGAATATTAGGTGATAAATAGTAGCGCATTAGCTATTGTTCAATTATGGTCAAATATGGTAAAAGTTTGTTGCATGAACAGGGATTTGAAAATTTAGGTCTGGTTTTCTTCTTTGCTATTCCACTTGAGCATCTGTATGATTGCAAGAGTGTTTTGTCATGGAATTTTTGGAATTTGCCTCTATAATCCCTGATCATGATTCCAGGGATTATCTGATCATGAGGGGCAAAGAATAAAGATGGAGAGTTCGCTGATAGCCCTTTAATTTTGTAAAAAGGTGTTTTGAGGGTACCTCACCACACATGATATTTATTTGCACCCTCTGGTAATGAAGTAACAATATTAAGTTTACATCGTAGGAAGAAATAAATTATAATTTTCTGTTGTAAAACAGAAGTTTCTCATTAAGTTTACACACTGATTCTTCTTCCCTTGGCATGGTTTTATGTCTGGTCTGGGCCTTCTTGCGCAATAGCTTCCTGCAAGTCTTGGCTCTGTTATTACTGGTGTCTTTATGATGGAGAGCATGATTACTAGACAGTTTTTTCTTTCCCTTTGTGCAGAGCATAAGTAAACTGATATGAAATTTGTTTGTAGGTGGATGCAGTCGTTTACCTGGTGGATGCTTATGACAAGGAGAGGTTTGCTGAGTCAAAGAGGGAGTTGGATGCTCTCCTTTCCGATGAAGCCTTGGCTAATGTTCCATTCCTCATTTTGGGCAACAAGATTGATATACCATATGCTGCCTCAGAAGATGAGTTGCGTTGTCACCTTGGTCTGACCAATTTCACCACAGGCAAGGGTAAGGTCAACTTAGGAGACTCGAGTGTTCGTCCCCTTGAGGTATTCATGTGTAGCATTGTTCGTAAAATGGGTTATGGAGATGGTTTCAAGTGGCTTTCTCAGTACATTAAGTAGGTAGTTGCTACAGGAAATTTAGACATGCTTTCTTTCTTAAATGTTATTTTATAGGGAGTTGAGTTGGATGGAACACCTTCGGAAATCAGTGTTGCAGGTGTTTCAAACACCCCCTCCTAGCCCCACCTTTCCCCGCTTCTCTTATCTCGTTCTTTTTTCTTCCATTTTTGTTTGAGTTGGTAAAGCCCCGCTCTACGAGACAATGAGACATACAAGTAATTGATGATTTATTGTGATTGAGATTTGGGCCCCTGATGTTAAATTGGAGGGTGATACTTTTAATCTAGTCATCTCCTCACTGTCCATTGTTGCCTTTATCATACTAATATTTTTATTGTTGTGATTAAACTATGCTCTCTCAAACAGCTGGGACTCAAACCCTCTTTAAGTTTCTGTTTTCTCCAGTTCATATTTAGGACAGAAGTATCTCCCCTAGGCAGGATTGTATATGGAAGCTACAAAAGCTATTCTTTCAAAATTGTCTTTGCCTGCAGTGTATTAGATGCTACAAAAAGCAGCCTTGCAAATGTTGAACAATTCTTTTTATCGCTCCAAGCATGTTTCTGCTTAGTGGCTGTAAAATATATATATATATATATATATATAAGCTAAATTTGAGATTGAAACAATCATGCTTCAAATAACATACGTAGCTATCCAACAGAACTCTTAGCTCATTTGTGATCTTAAGCTCCTGAAATCACAGCAATAGCCATCAGATTATGCTCAGTTTAACCAGTTACCGCTCACAGAAGTGAAGTTTGAAGTGCAATTGTAGTTGGCTCGTGTCTTCAGGCCATCAGACATCTAGTTTTGTCACAGATCTCATTTCATTAAGAAACAGAATGAGTTTTGGGTTTAGGTTTATAAGGATTTTTTACTTTTTGAATTGGAAATATGGATTTATTATAATCATCAATCTCTTAACCAGCAGTAAGAGGAAGGGTGTCATCGGAAGAAGATTTTAACAAACTTTATGAACAGATTGCTCTTTTCCGAGGACTGGGGATGTAGCTCAGATGGTAGAGCGCTCGCTTAGCATGCGAGAGGTACGGGGATCGATACCCCGCATCTCCATTTTTATCTATGTTAATAATTCAGAAGTTTCAAGTTCGTTTTTGTCGTAGTCTTCTTCATCTTTCTCACAGATTCTTTTATATGTAACTATAGGAAAAGGTCAAGCAGTCTCTGTCTGCTTTAGATTTTTTTTTTGTAAGTGACATATAAGAGTTAACCGGATTTGGGTTTGAATATCTGAAGCAAGGGTACTTGACACAAATGACAAACTTTTGCGGTTCCCAGTACTCAACCTTGTCTGCTGAAACACCAAATGTGGCAAACGCAAGTACAGAGTTGGGTGACTTGTTTCCACCTACTGACTCCCCATCTTAGTCCATGTCTAGCCTTTTCTCCTGCCACACCCTCAGCTAGCTACCAACCAGCTCGTTATTCAAATCCAGGTGGTCTAATCTTTTTGTTTTTCCTTTTTGCTCTTTTAGTTACCAATCCTTCTAGTTAATCAAATAAATCCATCCCTTTCCCAGCTATTCTGGTCGCAGTCAGCGTAATGGCAGCAGCTACTTCATCAAAGCTGAAGTGTTTCTCCTGCTTCTTCAACTTGATTTTTGTTGCCATATTCTTCCCCAACGTGAACTCAGGTTTTTTGCTCTATCCTTCTAATCACCCCATAATCATCTTCCTTGTTCCTTTTCACTTTATTTTGACCCCATTTCCATTGGGCATGATCAAACAGGAAATGCACAGAACCTCCTCCCTGCACGATCCTTCGCAAAAGCTTTCTTTTGTTTCAACAACAGATATGTAAGAATATTAACATCCTGATGATGTATTATTCTGAGAGTTCCTTTTCAGAGAAATCCTTTTCATTCGGTAGCATTTCATGCATACAGATTTATACTGGATGCGACGAGGCTTTTAGACTGAATGAGAGTGGTAACCTGAACGTACCTCGTGAAGCTACCAACATCTTCTGCACCGGACCTTGCTTAGCTGAGACACAGTTGGTGCTTCAATGCGTTGACAACGTTTTATCAGACTTCACGTTTTATAACCAGTCCACTGTTCGAGATATCAGAGATGTACTCCGTGCTGGTTGCAGCTACACCAGCAGAAGAGGTATAGGAAGAACTTTTCTTTTACTCATACAATAAGGGATAATACTGTACTCTACCCGAACCCAAAACGGATAATAAACTTTTTATTCAAACCCGAATATACGGTACTCGAAAATCGCTACATATGCTTTATATTCCTTCATTTTTCTAAGCTTTTTTGATGTCTAATCTTTGGTCTTAAGTGTCAGGAACTTGTCATTTAACATGAGTTACCCTTTGGTCAGGGAATTTCGATGTGGAGAATTATTTCCAGGGTGAAATAAGCAAGGCACCTGGATTGTGCGAGTTCATGATCAGCTTGTCTGCATTAACGTCGATCATTGGGTTTCATATTCTGATGATATAGCAGCTCTATGGCTATAGGAAAAAACAATATGTATTCTTCTGATGGTGTTCAAATCCATCTTCAAATTTTACCTTGACAGAATGATGCTTGCTCTGTTTTAAGTTACACAAACAACAAAATAGATTCATGATTTTAGCAGCTATGACTGCTTCAATATGTACAATTAAAATCCAATTTCCATAGCTTAAGCATCACTCCTGGTTTGCAAGTTGGTACATGATTATTATATGCTTTCCTCGTTTTACTTTTCCGAAAGAAATAAATCAAGAGAGAAAGAGAGTATAAATTTAACATGTTCATTTGAAAAGGTAAAAGTCGATAATAAATTATAAAAAACCAATAATTTGTAAGCTCATCAAAACACCAGAAAAAGGATCTTGTAACAGCCCATCAATGGAAACTCTTTGTATTTATTGGAGATCCCTAGTGCTGCCTTACTTTGCTTGCAGGTTAAGATAACTAAGAGAGCATTATTACTAGTACTTTTTCAAACTTTTGGCAAACCCCATCGAGGAATAATTCATCTGAACCCTTTAGGAAGTCTGGGACTGAAGTAGTCCTCCGGACGGCGGCATGATGGTGCTGCTGATGGCCATGCCTCTGCTCTCCTCCCCGTCTTATGTATGGCCTTCACCACAGCTTTACGGTCTACATACCCTAACACTGTGATCTTACTCGACATCATGTCTATCTCCACACATTTTACGCCTGTAACATCAAACTGTCAGGTCTTCTCCTCGTATAAAAAATGGTAATTCAGGATCTTCTATTGCTAGATATTTATACCATTGATCTTGAGCAAGGATTTGCGGACAGCTTTCTCACAGGCTTTGCAGTGCAAACGTACCTTGAATTCAACAACCTGAGACATCAAAATCAGAATACATGAAAGTGAATCAACGAGAAGAAAACTAGATTGGGAAAGTACATAGGAAATGGGAAGACCTCCATGGTGTTATGATATTGTTTTTACAGGGTGAGATAAGCTGGTGATGTTTATATATAATCGGATGGGTTTTTTCTGGTTATAAAAGTACAAGTCTTGGATCAAAAAGGTAGGGCAGGCGTGGGAAATGATTGCTCGTTTCCTTTCATCATTGCTGATTGTTGCAGAAGTAACATGAGTTCGTGGACAATGGTCCTAATTGCAGCAGCAAGAGTTCAAAAAAATTAAAATAAGTGAGATCATTTGATTGTATATCATTCCTTGTTTCGTTGTGCTATTTTTGTGTTTTACTTTATAATATTGAAATCATTGAATAACAATCCAGTGATACGTACGTTTAATGAAGTTACTGATACATTCACAGAAACAATTTCAGATCTCTTACCCTCCAACTTTGCAGAAACAAACATTAACAGGTTTTTAAATAATGAATTTGGAACACAAAGAGCGAGAGAGAGAGAGAGATTAAACTAAAATTGCTATTTATTGTCTGAGGGGTATTTGTTAGACCTATAAAATCATATGTAATGAACCCCCCACCACCCCAGAATCCAGTTTCCAGACTTAATTTTGACTAGTTACATGCATCACTACCAAACTTGGCCTTAACAAGCTCTTTCTCTTCAACCTTTGGAGGTTTCACCACGGTAGCAGGAACAGCAGCCTGAACATTTCCCTTGGGGATTTCTGGTTTCACATCTTCCTCCTCCTTCAGAGTCACCACAGCAGGTTCCTTCTTTGTTGTCGAGACACATGATCTGGACACATAGCTACTTCCGCAGCATCTCTTCCTTTCCATCCTTTCTGATATTTGCCCTTCTTCGACTGCAAGCTTGAGGACTGGAATGAAAAAAGAAAAAGGGCTAAATAGGAAATTGTTGAAAGGCTAGGATGCAGGGGAGATAGGAAGATTACTAATTTATAGAAGCAGAAGAGACTAGTAATATTCCTTCTCGTTTTCATAATCTTTGGTCCATGAAATAAAATTTCCTCAAAGCTTGTGTCCCATTCAAATGAATGCAGTGTACCTTGCAAATTTCCAAGTGAAGTAATTAATCTGAAGATGATTCAGCTCCCCTTTATTAATGAATCAGGATTAGACCAATCCTTCCTGGGAATTCTGACTTTTCTGGTGCCTACCGAGATTGTAAAGTTTACAAAGAGGGAAAGGAAGACAGATTCAGATTTTATAATTCTCACAACCATAGTCTACAAAGATGGTATAATCACCCTGTTGCGCTTTGTCCCATTGCTTTCTTGACACTTTTTTCCCTCATCAGTACTCTTAGCTTCTCTACTTCATCCCATCTCCCTTCCTCTGCATAAATATTTGACAACAATACATAATTACCCGAATTCCATGGTTCAAGATTGATAAGCTCTTTAACAGCAAGTTCTGCAAGCTGTGATTCACCATGAGTACGACAAGCACTGAGCAAAGCACCCCATAAAGTAGCATTTGGTGCAATATGCATGCTTGTAATCAGGTCATAAGCCATTCTCACACATCCGCTGCGTGCAAGGAGGTCAACCATGCATCCATAATGCTCAAGTTTAGGATCATTGTAGTAAATTTTGCTCATTGAAGCAAACAACTCTTGCCCTTTTTCAACCAACCCCGCATGAGCACAGCATGCTAGCGCCCCTGTAAAAGTCGCATCATTAGGCCTCTCACCTTTGTTCATCATCTCCTCAAACAACTTCACCCCAAGCTCCCCCTTCCCATTAAAAGCCAGACCAGAGATCATCGCATTCCAAGACACAACGTTTTTACAAGGCATATCATTGAAAATCCAAAGGGCAGTTTCCAAATTTCCACATTTACTATAAAAATCCACCAATGCATTTCCCACAGAAACCACATTTTGATAAAGCCTACTTGATTCAGCATAAGAATGAATCCATTCCCCAACATCGGCAGCCCCTAAATGAGCACAAATAGGCAACACAATAACCACAGTAGCCTCATCAGGTTGGAACCCCAGCCCCCTCATTTCCTGAAAAAGTGCCAAAGCTTCACTCTGCCTCCCACTCTGCGCCAAGCAAGAAATCATTGAATTCCATGAAACAACACTCCTTTCACTCATCTGCCTAAATAAATTTAACCCCATATCAACATCACCTCTCTTACAAAACCCACGGATCATCAAATTCCAAACTATCACATCCCTTTGACACATTCCATCGAACACCTTCTTTGCTTCGTCCATTCTTCCGCTAGAACTGTATAATTCCACAACCCCAATCTGAACCGAGCCAAAACGCTCGAACCCAGATTTAATAACTTGCCCATGTGTGCATTCCCCGATTCTTACATCACCAAGACCCGAACACGCCTTGAGCAATGGCGGAAACGTGTATTCATCAGGCCAAATCCCGCGAGTTTTAAGTAAAGAAAACAAGGCAATAGCTTCTTCAAAGGGACCGTTAAGAGAGTACCCTTTGATCATAGAGTTAAAGAGCAAAATATTGGGGTTGTGGGTCTGCAAAAACACAAGATTCGCATAGTCCATTTTGTTGAGGTGACCGCAAACAGAGACAAAGTGGGAAAGGATTTGGTTAGATTGGTGAAGGCATTGACGAAGGAAATGGGCATGGATTTCGCAGATGTTTTTTCGGGTTTTCTGGCCGTGGAGGAGGCGGAGGATCTTTCGCTCCAGCTCCAGGGAAGCTCTGCTCATTCTGTCTCTGTTCCCGTATCCTAAGAGCTTACTGAAATTTCAAGAGGTTTGATGGAGTGGTGTGGCGGGAACTAGGGGCTACTGCCTTTTAAAAGTTAATGGATACTAGTTACTTTGCTTTAATCTTCGAAAATTGTAGACTTTGATGTAATTGTGTTTCATGTACTAATCGTGCAACCGAAATAACAACACTTCATTTATTTCACTCTTTCGATTTGGAGATGACTCCATGGAGAAGCTGAAATGCTGAATCTCTTTATGGCTACCTCCCCAGAGAAGAGGAGGTAAGGAAGTAAGGACACAGGTTGAAATGGAACAGGATGGGAAGGGGAAGTGGCAGAGCAGGGACATATCATGAATGAATGTCATTAGATATCAGACAAAACTGCAGTCTCCTCATCAAACACTGCTTGAAAGCTCAAGCTGATGAAGATTACACTCAAGGCATTGAATTGAAACAGGAACATCTGATCTTAAACATTTGTTAGAGCTTTAAAGAAGACCATGACATAACAAATTATATCGTCACATTAATCATGAATGAAGCATGTCAAAGTAATTTTTACTTTTCTTTACTTTTTCAATTATCAATACATAACATTGGAAAAACTTACATGTCAATTTCCAAAAGGCTGTCTATCATTCAAAGAAGGTAATGCTACAAAAAAAAAACCATGATCATTTTTTGGATGAACGGAAACCCCCGAATCCCATCATAGCTGCCACATCAGGATCAATTTCAGGCTCCTCTTCTGCTGCTTTCTCTTTCTGAACCCAGACAAATCAACAATCAATTGTGACTTCGAGAAGTGAAATAAAAATTATAACCATAAGGGAACAATAATAAGGAAGTTAAAAAAAAGGCCTCTAGAAAACAGCTTAGAGCTCAAAAGCGTCTCCAATACGAAAAGCAATTACCCAACGGTGAAACGACCACTGACTACTTAGAAAATCCGACTACTGACCTTTTTCTCTTTCTTTCTTTCTCGTCGTTGTCGCTTTCGCTCTTCCTCTTCTTCCTGCTGTTTGATGATCCGTTCATCAAGATCTACAGAAAAGAATAAAGATTTGAGACATCAATCATCTAGAACACAGCTATAATCAAATTCCAACAAGTTGGCCACCAAGGCAAGACTTACCTTGTTCTGAGAAACTGTCAGGAGCTTTTCGCTTTTTTAATTGTTCAAATCGCTCCTGAACCTACATCCACCAAGCAAAGGAAATTAATAAGAAATTGACTATGCACAAGGTAACAGATCTTCTTTTGACCTCTACAAGTCATATGCCACAGATTCTATTTTTGACTATCTTCAAGTAAATATAACCACGTTTCTTGCCTGGAAAATTCATCCTTTTTGTCTCAGAAAATGACATACAGCTTTTTCCTCCATTTATAGGTTTAATAGAAGCTCCAATATTAAAAGGATGTACATGTTTATTAGATTGCCTTTTCTACTCATTACTAATTTACTTCTAATATTAAAATCTTAAAATAAAGAATACATGGCTTTTGTTAGCTAACAAGGTTCTAAATTCTACAACTTCAACCAATTAAGTGCTTTAAAAGTGCACATCAAAAACTCTCCAACTGAGCACCTGTTGAAGGGTTGCCCGTTCTACCCGCATGGACATACCCAAAGCTCTTTGATCTGAAAAAGTGAGGCAGGGGGGGCATTAGATTAGTAAAAAACTAATAAGAGTGTCTTTATTTGTCAATACATCCATAAGATGATAAACAAGAATCTCTAGAAAACAACATACGTTTCTTCCCATTGATGTGATCCAAGTAGTTTGCAGAATCTTTTACTACACACTCGCAAACTGAGCAATAGTATCCAGCCTGCAAAGAACCAATTTAATCAACATACACCTTATCACCATAATAAATAAATTTTCATAAAAAACAGAGATCAATAAAAATTGGAAAGCATGATACTTTTGCCACTAGGCTACTAAATTCTGTCATTTGTTCAAAACTAAATAAATCAAGCATTCATCGATGTGGAACAACATTCCCTACTAAACAATCAACATTCATTCATATAGCAATGCAAACATACAAGTGTTTCTTCAGTACCCTCCTAAAGCCTTATTGCATAAGTTACCTCCTAAAGGAGTAACACATCCAACAGGTCGAAATCAAGTTAAGTCTATGGAATCTTAACAATCATGCAGCATATAAAATTTTGATTTAAGAAAACCACAATGCTTCAGAGATCAAACGCTGTATATAGAATACCCTTTGAGCCAAAACGCATCCATGAACATCAACCAGCTAAGCTGTTCTTCAAGAAATGCAACTTGCAATGAACAATGAACATCACACGCCTCAAGAATACAGTCATAACATAAGTTTACGCGAGGAAGGAAATGATAAGAAATTACCTGCTGACTTAAAGGTGCTATTGGAGTAACAACCTGCAAAATGTAGATGCTTAAACAAGACGGTTCAATATAAACGCGAATTAAGATTAACTCTAGTGCCAAGCAATTATACAAACCTGAGTTTTACCCAAACGAGACTCGAGATCAACTTCATAATCCCTATGCTTCAAGGGTTTCCTTTGCACTGGGGGACCTTTTGCTGCACATGTATTCAACTTTTACTATACAAAATTCAATTGCTTAAAATTCAAACAAAAATACTAAAAATTATAATAAGAAAAAACTCACCTTTGGATTTACTTCGCCCTTCAGATTCCTGAATCACAACCAAATTTTTTTATAATATTCAAAAAAAAAGCCGAAAAGGGAGAGACTTTGATAAGAAACCTGTTTGTCACGCTCTCGAGCGCGTTGTAAGTATTCTTCTCGATCGAATTTCTTTCTGAAGGTATTATCAACACCAAGAGCCTGCAACAAAATATAATCAAAACAAATTCCATAGCTAAAATGTAAAAATTCAAAGCAGAAAAAGGAATAAAAAAAGAATATATTTTGGAGAGAAATTTGGGTCTTACATTATTGCTGGAAGCCATTGATTACACAAAGAAATTGGATTAGCTTACTTCGAAATTGTTGTGAGAGAGGAATTTCCAGTGATCAAATCAAAACCCTAAAGAGTGGGAATTTGGGTTCTGTTCTTTCTTGCCTTTGCTTCAAACTAATTTCCATATTCCAAGAAGAAACCAAGGCCCAACAAGTAATTTTGTTGGTGCAAATGGTTTTAGGCCCAAAGCAAAAACAGACCCCAATGCCCATTAATAAATATATGAGAAGTTACAATATCCACTGCATTTATACCACATATTTTCAGGAATGCAAACTATAGGATTCACTGATTTACGCCATTTACTTGGAACTGTATTTTTTTTTTTGTTGATTGAAATGTCATATGCTTTTTGTTCTGTATGGATTCCATTGTGCCAGGTTTTCCCTTGTTTTACTGACCATTGGAGGGCCAATGGGGATTCATTTTCATATGGACATGTTTCTTTTTTTTATATTTTTTTCCTGCAATCAATCTGACATGAAACTAAGATTTATCATCTGAAAGTCATGAAAATGTCTGACTGAAGTTCGATCTATGCTCTTTTAGAAAGTAGCTGATCAGCATGATCAATTAACAGGTTTCTTCTAACTGCTGCATTTATCATCTTTTATGTTGGTTGTCAGAATTGAAGTGTTTAGGTTCCATCGACTGTAGGTTTTTCCTTACCAGTATCACTTCCCCGAGATTGACTTAAACCTGAGTATTCTTCATTGTTTTTTAACCAAGTTAAGGCAGATGAATTCATTCTCAAAGAAGAAAAATCTTATCTATCTTTGCTTGGTTGTTAGTAACTGGATCCTTTCCTAGGACATTGGTCTCCCATGGAAGAAGGTAGAGCATTCGCTTTTCCCTTGGAAACCATACGATTAAAGTCTTGTTTGCTGTACGGGGTTGGGCCATTTCCAAGACTTCCTAGCTCAGGCTCAACAAGCTGGAATCGTGCTGATAACGCTTTTATTCTGGATTTTAGCTGCTAGTTACGTCAGGGCCCAGGCTAGTTATTTTGGATTTGATCAGTGATCTTCCTTGATCAGCCCTCCCCCAACCCCCATCAAAAGGGAAAAAAAATACTGCATTAGGGACTGGTAATTAGTGTGCAGTCAATTTTAAGAACCTGGTTATTCAAGGAGCAGTAGATATGACAGACAGAAGACCGAGTCATCCGGGAATTCTGATGGAAATTTCGAGTGAAGGGTTGTCAGAAGGGAGTAATGAAGTTCCCAGAGGACGAGTTTGTGTGGGTGGAAAAACAAAGTCCTTGGGGCAAACCCTGGGAGCTTTTTGGCCCACGTCCCAGGCCACTGGCTCCTAGGCCACCACCCAGTCTTGGTAATTCATGTGAAGTATCATTATTCTGTTCCAGTAACAGACAAATGGGTGCTCCTTCAATACCCACACTTGGTTTTTTGTGAGGATAAGCTGTAGACTATTTCCTCGGGCCGATTTCCTTGTCCAGGGAATTTTCTTTCCCCCATTTTACCTTAAAAACATCTTCTAAATCAGTTTCCTAAGTGCTGCAGTTCTTCAGGTATTTTTTCGGAAAGAGGAAAATGTAACGTAATTTGCAAGGTAACTTGGAGTTAGAGATGGGGCCGACCATGGAATTCCTGAAATGGCCTTCCTGGTACAAACCCCATAGCTCTTGTCATCAAAATGATTCTAGGGATAACTTCAGAAACTGCATAAAAAGGGCCGTCCACCAATAATGTAAGCCTGGGGCCTGAGATAGACCATGTTGATGTGATTTTGCCACTATTTGCTCCCAGGCTAAAATTATAATGCTCCCCACACAGATTGCTGGAAGTTGGGACCTGATTAGCTTCTCATGTGATATTTTTCCTTGAGCTAATAATTCTGATCTTTCTCTTCCTTCTGTTTCCAACCATAGATTGGGGTTTTTGTGGTCTGAAATTACCGGTTAACAACCAAGCTTATCTTCAAAACAATTATATGAGTAATGATGAGGGACATGGTGTTGGATATTGGAAAAGGCAGAGTTGCTCTAGTTCATGTGTTTCTTTTTTGGAGCGACATGAGGATGATCATTGATCACAAAGAAAAGAAAGGGGGGAAAGAAAACCCAGATAGAAGCCGCCAAAAAGAGATTAATCAAAGTTGTTTGGAAATGGAAACACTATCAAAATCAAGTCAATGTCGCATAATCTCAAACTGCTTTATGTCCATGTCTCATGATCCCCTTTTTTGTCAATGTCTACTAGACGCCAAGGGCCCCCAATTTAATCAAAGCTTGCAAACTTTTCTATCCATTGCTTTTCGTTTAATCTTTAGCTCTTCTTCTTAACTTCCAAGTGCATGTATGGCCCCTAAATCAATCATCCTCAGATTCTGAAACTTTTAACATATGAGGAAATTGATGTCAATTCATATCTTTCCCATATCCCAACCAACCCAACTCATGCAATATATCATGTGCATGTGCATCACAACAATTGAACCCCAAGAAGAAACAAACAAAAACTTCCAGAGTTTTCTTTTGGAACTGTTGGTACAGGTCATATAGGGGTGGGGGGCATCCTCATGTGCTAGTGCTACTTGGGCATCTGCCACCAAATTCTGTAACGGGAAAGTTGAGAGTGAGAGAGCCCGAAACATTTTTTTGTGAATAATATTGCTTCAATAATCCAACAGGAACAGTGCTCTATAATGATGGAAACATTGATATTGCTTAGGTGTTAGGCCCCCCAAAACAAAGAAAGATGCAACATGGAATTGCAATAAGAACCTGAAACCCATTTCTCCTTTCACAAAACTCACTTTCAAAGGTTACAAGTGCATCAGTAATGGCAGAAGATACCCATTGTTTTCATAAGTTTTCATTTTATTTCACAATGGGTTTCGATTGATAAACAAATTACAGATATTTGTAAAATTTCTTCACAGAAGAAGGGCCAAGTTTGAAGTAAGAAACCACAAGGAGTGGATGAATATGGAAAATAGAGAGTAGGCCGTGTTACACCAGCACTGCAGAACACATGGATATATTGGATATATATTGTTTTACATGTTATACAAGGGAACTGGGTCTAGACTAATTAGCCCTCATAATTTCAACATGTTCTCTTTTTAAAACAAAAGAGAAGATCTAACTGTAAAATACATTTATGATTCATAAAAATTCTTAATTGGAAAAGCTAAGGTAAAAAAAAATTCTATACAATTTCTTTCGTACCCCTAATTAGCTGGATTTACCTGGAGGAAACAGGATTCAAAGCTCTAGCTAAGCCATTCATGGCACCATAACCTTTTGAACTAAAACCCAAGCACCCAAGCAGGCCTTGTCTGTAAGGCAAAAAGGTCTTCTTCCTCATTTCTTCAGCTTGTGCTCTGTTTGCTGTGTAATGCAACTCATGTGGTGATGGTGGAACCCTCCTCTTCCCTATCCCATTGACAGGCTTATTCTTATGGCTTCTTTGATTCTCTGATCCCCCACTTGACGCATTGCTTAGCTTCTCTTTAGACTCCAGAACCACACTGCTGCTTGTGCTCCCAGGCTTCTTTTCTTTTGCTGGAGAGAATGAAATAGTTGACCAGAACTTATTGTTGCTTCTCCCTTCACTTTTGCTCCTCAGAAAATCTTTCAGGAAAACCCATCTCTTTGAGCTTCTTCCAGCTGAAGATGACCTGGAAGAAGAAGCGGACATCGAAGCACTCGTTTCATTATACATCTCCTCATCGTTCTTGCCGTCAGCTTTCTTGCCTAAATCTTTATCCAAGCACAGGCTTTGGTCATCAATGTTGAGAGCAAAACTAGCATTTCTTAAAGGGGACATGGATCTTGTTCTCCTACGTAAAGACTTATCCCTCAGCCTCAGATCTCTGCCTCTTACTTTGCCATCAACATTATCTTCATTCTCTTCATCCTCATGTTCAAGATCCAGCAAAGGAGCCAAAACCTGAGGCCTTTCCAAATGGGTGGACAGCTTCATAGGCCTGATCTGTCCATTCAAGAAAAGTTCATCCGCCGAGCTCATGGACCCCGTTTGACCTGACCCTGAAGACCCAAATCTCGCAGAGAACTCAAACTCAAAACCAAGAGGCACTGAGTTATCAGGAGAAGATGGTTGGGTCGATGACACCATGGAAGCCACCGAGGTCATTGCAAAGTGCATAGGGCTAGCCGGTGCACTGTAAAAGAACCCACCATTGATGGATCCTGGTCCGGGTCCAGGCGCTCTGCCAGGGCTTGAAGGAGCGCTGACATAAGGTGTGGAGCAGGTGCTGTCATAGTCTTCAGGGAAAACTTGGGGCTCATGGGGGTCTTGAACTTGCCCATCGAGGCTCCTTTCTAGTTCTGTTTCCAAGTCTGAGATTGGGTGTTGGTTTAGCTCATTGTTGTCTGAAATTTGGAACTCCATTGTCTTGTGTGACCAAGTTGAGTAGTGATTGGTGAGAGAGAAACTCGAGGAAGAACTTTCTTGTGCATGTAAAATTATGAAAGGGCGGAAAATGGATGTGTGTTTTCAGGTTATCCTCACCAATCTGTGCCTTTATAATTAGTCAAATAGTACCCAAAATGTCAAATTGGGCTTCCCTTTTGTCCGTACTAAATATGAATAAAAATTGAAGTCAATTTTTTTTTATTAATTTTCCCACAAATTAGCCCTAGATCCCATCTAATTAATGAATTGATGCCTTTCAATTTCATTTCTTTGGGGCTATAATTTGATTCATAAGGTTGCCCAAATAAATTCCTCCCTTGTCACATTCTTTACTCAAAAAGATGACATCTCTTTCATTCTCAAATGTTTTAACTCTTATTATATGTTATTTTCATGTCCCACTACAACATCAAACCATCTGTATGAAAACCATATTTTTTTAGAAATTCAAATCATAAAAATGTAAATATCGATACTTTTTTCATTTTTAAATGTTTTTTTTCGATCGCTTTTTATCTATAATATAGAAAAAAAACAAGAGTATTACGTGCCTAAAAAGAAAAAACAGACTTCATTTCTAAACATCCCAAAAAGAAAATTATTGAATAAAGAAAAAAGATTGGAAAAAATAAGATTAAATAATAAAGAAAGCAATAGAGAAGTGGATAATTGGGTCATTTCCATTCTTACACTCTTCAAGATGCAACAACCTATCAATCTTGGATTCTAGACCACTGATTAAGGAGATATTTAATTAAATATCTAAGAAAATTTGAGCATTAATCCAATATATGAAGTGGAATGAAACCCTAATTCCCAATTTTAATATGGCAATTCTCACCCAAAGCTCAAAAGTCAATGGGTGCCAACTCAAATTAAACACCCTGCTTATGAGGGTGAATGGGAGCTCAATGTCTCTGCTTGTTAGCATATGAAATAAATAACAAAATAAATAAAGCATTGGTGCAACATGAAAAGAATTAAAAAGGGTAAGCATTGAGAGAAGAGTAGGGATCCATGTGGGGAAATGGGAAAGGACCCAATGGACAAAAATACATAATTAAATCTCCCAAAATAATATATATAAAAACCCTAAATTAGTACATTATTAAAGTCTTAAAAAAAAAAAAGAAGGCTCCCATGTTATGTCACCCCACCTTTCTTCTCTTGCAGACCCCATCTGGTGTCACATGTTCTTGCTTCACTCCTCCATCCCCTTTTGCTTATTCTCTCCACACAATCATCAAGTGTGAAATCTTAGACCAAAAAAAAATGTCATTCAAAGGTATTTTTCTTAATTGTATGTTTCACCTTTAGCAGCAATAAATAAAATGTAATCATGTTTGCAATCTCAACGATCATATTTCTTTCAAAATATTATCAGAAATTTATACATCGTACACAAAATATAATTAAAAATTAAATTTATTGTAAAATCATTTAATAATAAGAATTTAAAATTTAGGATTTAGGATTGCGTAGTCTTAAAAGTTAGTACCCGACAACGAGCCGTTGAGCATATAAAATATAAGACATCTTTTGATGTGGGCAGAGGTAAACCACGGAAGAACAAAACTACAACCCCTCTTCATAGGATCCTAATTTTTGGGTAGACTGCCCCCCTTAATTAAATGAATTAATCATTGTTAGAATAATGCTGTTGATTTAATTTAATCAGGATTACTACATGCTAATCTGTAAACCTCTTACAGAATTCAGTCTCTTTCCTCTGTACCAAGAAAGAAGAATATCGGTAGTAGTTTTGTAGCCAGCCATGGGAGGAAGAAAAATGGAAGCAACCCAATCAAGCCTTGACACGTGCTTCTGTTTTTTTTTTGTTTATTATATGATTAAAGGTTTCTTTTTTATTAAATTGTTATGGATTCAATTAACCCGTACTTTCCAGATTTTGATTTGATAGAGATTTTGGGAAAATTAAAAAGGAATTAAAAACTTGGAAGCGTGAGAAAATAATAAGGAAACCATGTGGTGTGTTCTTCATATTAGGTTTTGGTTTTATATTTTATAATATTTATGTATAATATAAAACATTGGAAAAAAAAAGTAATAAAATCGGTTGAATATAAATTAATTTTGATTATTTAGGTTTTAAGGTATAATTCGATCGGTTTGATTGTTTTCGATTAATTAGGTTTTCGAATTCTTAAAACCGATCGAACTGAACACGAAAACCAACCTAAAGGATCAAAATCTGCTTTAACAGATTGCTCTTTGGTCATGGATGCAGAGTTAAACAATTTAGAATTATATAGCATACAAGATCCATCAGGTGGAATAATTTAAAAGAGACTTAAAGCAAGAAATCAGAGACTAAATCATCAACTAAAGAAGAGTATATACTTTCCTCAATCTCTACACCTTCTTCAAACGCTTCCAAGTCAAATCCAAGCCATCTCCCATGCTGAGTGCTCATGTCCTTGTCTACAAGGTCATCCACCATTGTCTCCCCCATGCTTTTCCAACCCCAAATCTCTTTGTACAACTCTTGGGCCAACCACCCCCTTTTCCGGATCAATTTTCCCCACTTAACCCATCCTTTGCAGGTTCCGACAAAGAGTTGCTTACACCTCGACGCCAGGCATTCACTCACACAATCGAGCAAAAGCTTTTGGTGAAGCTTGTCGTGATCTTCTCCGTTTCTCTCTGTTTCGATACGATGCTCGAGCTGGTTGAAAGCATTCAGGGTCATTACCTTTTCAGTCTGACCCAATGCATATTCTGTGAACATTAGCTCAGAATCTTTTAGCACCATTTTCACATAATCGAGTTCCCAATTTGTTGACTCTTTTAAATCTCTCGAACTTGATGTACTAGTTAGAGGCTTTTTGCCCATTTCTCCCACAGATGTAGAAAATGCCGAGTCAGATAACTCTGTACCAAATTCTGTCAGAGACTCACTTCCAGGGGTCCAACTTGACGCTCCTTGATCTTGAGCCAACATGAATTGCTTCATGCCTGCAAGTGTGTAGTGTATTTGTTGGTCAGAGGAACGATAACAAAATTCCTTTATCTCGTTAAATCGGGTTTTAGCTTACACAGTAGTCACTGCAGTAACATGATTACTGAGTTTACCCATCTATGCAAAAATTTCAGTATCATGCAATATTCATAAACTAATACAAACAGCTCTGAAATGATGCGCTATTCCACAACTAAAGATTGCTTTGCCTCTAAGACAAAAAATTAATTATTCTCCAGAAATTCTCCCAAAATGTAACTGACAACTATCTTCCTAGTAAATTAATATCAAGAAGAATATAAGAATAGAAAGAGTACAGCTTACCTTCGGTACCGTTTCTGCTATCTGAGCTGTTCCTACTCGTGACAGCAGGTTCAAAAATTGAAGGTGGGATAGGATGTCTATGATCTAATCCTATGCCAATCTCACTGCTGCTGCTGCTGCAAGCATTTTGCTCTTCAGTTTCTTCTGAAAGCTGCAATCATTCAATAAATTGAAGCTACATGTCATCATTATGTAAGATTGAAAAATAGGAATACAATTTCTGTATTGAAATTAGAGATGTAATAGACAATTAAAATGAAAAAAATCATTTTAGATATATCTTATAGAACATCGAAATCAATCAAGCTTGTGAACAACTGGTTTGTGTATATGGTGAAATGCAAGAGTACAAATAGATAAATATTTATACTTTCGAATGGAATCAAAGGATGTAGGTGTCAGGCATTCTGATGACAGAAAAGGCAGTAGAATTGAAAGTGCAAGTTATTTGGGCACTAGATCAATTTAACCAATCAAACAGACTTCAACTTGGTAGGAACTGAAATCATGGAAAATAAAAGGGGAAAGTTCTCCATCAGCTACTAACTTCTCTTTGTGATCACTATTCACAGCTATGTTGGCTCTGCTTTTAACTCATAGAACTAAAGTTTCTATACATAGTGATTATTCAGTACAATTACTATTATTATTATTATTATTATTATTTTGGTTGAGGTAAAACACCATCTGGAATACAAGCACTGGATTCTATATTTTGGAAAAACCTTTAGCAGTGTGTGACATAACCAAGACCTGCAATAAAAATAATGGTAGCAGCAACTGAGTAAAACAAACCTGCCACCTCTTTCTCCAATCAAGCCCCAGATTGTCAATTGAAGAGTGATCAAAGTCACCTGAGCTATATGAAATATCTTTATCTAGATCCACCTGAAGCCCTTTGTGATGTCCCCCCAATGTTGTGGGCACCGTACCAGATGAGGACACTGAATTTTGCAAACTGGATGTCGGACTAGCAGAAGTCCCATCTACAATGATATTGCAGTTGGATGAGTCAACTCCACAAGTCAATTCCTGAAGCTTTTTTTCCAAAAGAACACTCAGAGAATCTCCACCAATTATATTAAATCCAGGAGAAGAAAATGCTGAGCTCTTCAAATATAGCAGGTAATTGTCACCAGAAGGATCACTATCAAAGCTGCTGCTCTTTTCCGCAACTCGACTAATTGGGGATGTAAATGTAAATGAAACAACATCCATGCTCGTTTTCATTTTTTCTGCATCCCGATTCAAGTGCCCATCAGTTGCAATATTACATTTTATGGACTTTTCATTGTAATTTATTGATGAAGTGTCAGAAGAAGTTTCTCCAGACGCAAGATCTTCATTTACAGGCCATTTCTTTTTAGGCAAATTCTTTCTTCTAGACATTGGAAGCTCCTTTGCAGCATCATTTGCCACTGAGCCTATCTTCCTGGACTGAGGTTCAGAGTTTATGGTCACCTTATTTATAGTCCTATTCAGCCCAATTGTACCATTCATGGACCTAGCCCTTCTACTTTGCTGGTCCATGGTTGAAGTCTTTGATGTTGAATAATCTCTGGTGGATATGCAGTTCTGCTTCTGATTATTCGGCCTCAGCACATTGTTAGTCCGGTTTGCAGAAGTTCCTTTCTCCACAGTCCTTTGCATATCTGCCTGGCTCCTAGAAAACTGTTTTCGTTTAGCATCATTCCTTTCCTTCTTGCTTGCAGAACTCCCATTACTACTTGACAGTGAGCCATCTCTCCTCTGAACATTAACCCTTGCTTGTTCTGCGAGTGAGACTGATTTCCCCTTATTCCTCAAACTGTTAGAACTAACTTTTTCTGAATCCTTCGGAATCCTGAGTGTTGGTGTATAATCTGATTTATTGTGACTCTTGTCCTTATGCTGTCCTTTCAAAGGCTTTGTCGCACTCACACTAGGCTCATCAGGTCTTTGAGGCCTGGATGCTTTATGTGCAGCTTCAATTTTCCCTTTCAAATCCCGGATTCTCAAAGGAACAGAAGAGGACCCCAATGACGGCACTTTACCTTTGGAAGTTGTCTGAGGACTAGCCTCAATAATCTTTGCAGCTGCCTCTATTATATAAGCTGCATTTTTTGTTGGGATGAACCCTGGACTCCTGATAGGAGACAAAAGCTTATGGTGAGTAATTGGAATTGGCTTTGCTGATTTTGGAGGCAATATTTCAGTCTGAAATCTCTCGATTGGTCGATTCTGCACCTTATGAAACCTTGGTTCAATGGGATTTGAAGACAACCTGTTGAGCTTGTTAGAGATGTTGGTGTAGTCTGTGGGTTGATATTCATTCCACAAATTAGGAGTACTTCTTTCATAATGAGATGCTCTAAGAGAGCAAGACCCTGAATATGGGGCAGAAGAGGGCTCAGGGACATTCAGTGTTGGCAATGAGTCCAGACCCATAAGCCTAGCAACAACTCCGGGTGCTCTAGATCCATATCCTTCATCACTAGTCACTGAGGAAGCAGAAGAAAAATCATCACTGCGTCTGCTACTTGAAGTGGCATTGTACTCAGTCCCCTCCGTCTGGTACTGCAAAAAAGTGGAACAATATAATCAGAAACTAATATTTTACCAGAATAACAGTAGAGCGAAAGAAGATTAAATTGGAAAAGGGAGGAAATTTCCCACCGTATGAGGCAGTGACTTCACTAGATTTTCCACAGGTGTTCCTCTCCTTGATTCTTCTACAGCAAATTGAGAATGAGTTACAAACATACTCACAATAAAGAAAAAAGGAAGACTAAACACACAAAAATAATACACGCGTATTTATATAAATGAAGAACAGAAATGTACCTGATAATTCAGAATTGTTTGAGAACAATTTCTTCCGAGATTTGCCATTCCAATCAAATAACTGAAAAAACCCTCCCTTTGTTCGTTTCCTTTCGACCTCCATTATCTCATCTATGTATTAACATTACTTAAAGATTTAAACCCAAAAAGCAAAAAAGTTGAATTATCAAACAAGACCTAGAAGTCAGTCTAAAACAAGCATTATCACACCTTAACAATGTGCAAAAATTTGCAATCGGTGAACATAATCAATAGCTGACAAAAAGGAAGAAACTGTAATTTCAAAACCATACCTGATTTTGCTTACATTGATCATTCAGCTAACAGACAAAGAGAGACAATGCCTCATCTTCAAGCAAGCAATGGAGGAGAGAGAAATATAGCGTTTTCTGAACATGAATGTGTGAATCAGATATCCACAATCCAATATCTAAGAAAAACACCAATTATGGAGATGCAAACAATCCTCCGAAAGGGAAAACAAAGATGTAACTGAGCAAACCAAAGAACTTCATAATATGAATGAAAGAAAAATCTCACCTTGAATTCTTCAAAAGTAACAAAAGCCCATGATCCAGGTATAAAGTTCCTTCCTTGTCACAATGGGGCTACATAAAAACGGCTAAATCTAACTGGGTATTCTTTAAATTGAACAAAGAAACTACAAACTTCAAATCATCCCAATCAATCTCCCCATACACTCATTACAACAAAACTCCAAGCACCATTTTTTTTCTTCCAAGTATTGTAAGGTTTTCTTTTATTTTCTTTTGACTGGAACTAAACTAATATTAATGCACGTAATAAAAAATGATAAAAAATGGAATTTGGTTTCAAGTAAAATGGACCAAGAAAGGACACAAAAAAAAATCCATCACAGGAAAATATTTTAGTGACATTACCAGAGATACTGGGAGAGAGAGACTTGGTTGATACCAGATAAGAAAGAGAGAGTCAAACTTAAAAAAAAAAAAGTAGAAACAAAAACTGTGAAAACAATCAGAGAGTGTAAAAGGGTAAGAAGTGTCTGGTGTGATTTTGAGCATTAAATCTTGGAGAAGAAGTGACATATCACAAGCCAACTCTGCCGTTGAAAATTAGGAACCCAAGGCTCTCCCTTGTGAAAACAAATGAATTAAAAAGTCCCATTCCTGCCTTGGTCTTGTAATTTTCCAGCCTTGTAACCAATGCCATGCCACGTGGGGCATTTCTACCATGGGCTTGGGGACCGTCACCGCTACCTGGGCTCCACTTTAGTACACCACTTTCCAACTTATTTGTCTCCTCTCAAAAAAACTTTAAATCTCATTTCAATTCAATTTTAAATTTCACTTTGCCATCAAGTCTTAAATCCTTTTTCTTGAAAAGGGTGAATTGGGTTGTTAATGTCTTAAATGTACTCAAAAACTGAGCAAATAAATAAATGTAATAGGCATTGTCAATTTGTCATGTTGTTGAAGATATAGCAGTAGTTCAAACATTTCAATTTGTAAACTACTCCATAAGAGACATAATTTTTTCCTGAAAGTGTCAACAAACTTAATTAAAACCACTAGCAATCTGTGTATCATTGTATTAATTAAAGATTTGAAGTTGAATCTCAGTCAGTGTGAAAGGTTAAGTAGTTTATAAGGTAATGCAACATAATTTATGGGATTTTAATAGATAAATTATTACAATTTTAAAGTAAGTTGAAGCACGCAATTGCAAATGCAAAGTTCAGTTTCTTATGTTGTCCTGTCAAGATTTCTATAGCATAATCGTTTCATAAGTTTTCTCTACCCTGTTTGTCTGGTTTCTCCGACAACCCAAACCAAGCCATCAATTAAGTCTACCCGTAATCTTGGTAATTAATCAAAGGACAAAACCCAACAAAATCTTATCAAAAAGTTTGGATTATAAAGAAGTTTTTCACTACTTTAAGCAAAGTTTGGATTTTAGAGTGTTAGGCGCATGATTATATTATTGGGTGGTTGACATGTCAATGTCAATTATATATTTTATATTAAAATTTTAATTTTTTATAATTTAAATATTTATTTTTAGATGTCTTGGAAAAAAATAAAGAAAGAATATAAGACAGAGGAGGGTATTAAATTTAATGACATTAATATGGCATGATTGTTGCATGTGCTATTTGTCAAATTATTCTTCGAAAGTCTTCATGAGTCATATGGCTACAGATCTTAGATTTATTTTTGATCAATAGTCAAAGGCAATGTGATTCACAAAGGGTTTGATCAATAGTAAAGGCAATGTGATTCACAAAGGGTTGGCAAATTGATAGTTATTTAAATATGCTTACATTCAATACATTTTTGGGCAAATTAATTATCAAAATATAGTATGCTTCTTGATATTTGTTTTTTTTTTTGCATTTTTTTATCAATCTTTCATAAGTTAAAAATAATAATAATAATAATAATAACTTAACAATTTGACGATTAAAATTTAATCAATCAAAGCTAACAAAACTCCGATTATTATTTTATACCTCGACAGTAGATTATAATATTTTCTCAAAACATTATCATGCTTTGATTTTAATATCACAAATCAAAACAAGTTCATACACAAACAGATCACCTCTTCAACAAAATTATATTAAAATTAGAGAAACTGAAAGGGAAAGAAAGAAATAATGGGAACAGAAAATTACCTTCCTCCTCTCCTATCTCCACCACCATGCCCTACATCATTAGATTTTGATTCAATATATAGCTTACTTGCAATGTACACAAACATGCATATGCTCATTAGGAAGTCCTCAGACAATTATCACAAGGATTTGAACAATATTTACAGGCTTTTTCTGTCAAAAGACTCTCCAAAGTGTTCAAGTAAGATTTGCCCCCGGCATTCGTCCTGGAAAGAAGACTTTCAGCATAAGCAATAAGTTCTTACATAACTCCCCCACCCCTTACCCCCAGGCTTAGTTGCAATGTGTACAAACATGTCTATGCTGATTAGGAAGTCTTGAGACAATTATCACAAGGATTTGAACCATGTTTACAGTCTTTTCTGTCGAAAGACTCTCCAAAGTGTTCAAGTAGCATTTGCCTCCGGCATTCATCCTGGAAAAGAAGACTTCCAGCAAAAAAATAAGTTCTTACATTAACGTCCCCCAAGAGAGAAAAAGGAATGGGCACTGACAAACCTTAAGTTCACAGTATTGTTGCATTTTCTGAGCTTGAGCCATGGCTGTTTTAAAGCTTTTGCTTTTAGAACCTTGCCCATTTCGTAACATGCATACAACCCGACTGAAATCCTTCTTCCGGTATAAGGCAATGCATACAGCGGGGCAATTATCTCTTCCAGCCCTTCCAGACTCTTGATAATAGCTTTCAATTGATTTGGACATGGTGTTGTGGATAACAAAACGCTGAAAACGAAATAAAAAGAAAGGAATTAGTCAAGTTCTCTAGAATAATGGAGCAAAAAGAACAAGATTTTGAACCCACCATATCAGCTATTACTCAGTGGTAAACACACCAAAATACTATTTACAATTAAATCTTATGGTGTTATTTTTACTTTAAAAATCCACTATTCCGATTGATGAAAGTAGGAACATTTGTGATTGTCTCAAACAAAAGTAACTTTTCCATATGAAAAAATCACCATAAAAGAACTTTTTGTTCATGATGCAGTGTCTAGCGTGCTCTAATCACACAAGTGGAAAATGTGCACAGCCTAGTTTTTAAAATCTATAGACATGATAGGGAGAAACTGTAGATCTTATCTGGACTTACAACATCTGGTTTGTCAATTCCCATCCCAAAAGCAATAGTTGCACATACAATTTGGACCTCTCCTTCATACCATTTCTTCTGAACAGTCACTCTTTGTCGAGCTGCTAAACCAGCATGGTAATATACTGTCCTAATCTTGCATTTCTCATTCAGAAAATTTGAAACCTCAGCACATTCATTTTTTGAAAGGCAGTATACAATTCCACACTGATTCTTAAAACGATCTTGCAGAAGCTGACCAAGTTGCGCTAATGAATCCTTAGCCTTCCCAATTACCTCATACTTCAAGTTGGGTCTATCAAAGCTGGTCTTAAGGACTAGAGCATGGGGAATTCTCAAAGCATTTAGAATGTCCTGCAAAGCACCAATTGAGACAAAAAGACTTACTGTTTATACAACAAAACATGAAAAAAAAAGGGTTCAACTTCAAGTCTTATTACCTCACGAACTGAGTGGGTGGCTGTGGCAGTCAATGCCATCACTGGAACATTTGGAAAATGCTGCTTAAGACATCCTAGACCTCTGTAGTCTGGACGAAAATCATGTCCCCACTGGCTGGGAAGAATTTAAGAGCAAGGATTTTCTTGTTATAACCAATTAATGTAACAAATTACATAGATCAATCATTTATGTTCATTGGAATCATTGCCATGGCACCTAATATTTATCTCCGAGGGGATATGGTTAGCAGGATGTATTGCTTACTGCAGGTTAACCTGATGCTAGCCTTAGCAAGCTTCATAGAATGTAGGCTGGCTATTCTCAAAAAAAAAAAAAAGAAACAGGGAATCCCGTTTGTCCATTCAAAAAAAAGAGAGCAAATAGATGAAATAATAAGGTTTTTTTCCTTATTGATAGGAAACACTGGTAACTTGTGAACAAAAATAAATGTATATAAGATCTCAACAAAAGGCTTCTACTAGTAGCAGTCAAAAACACAGATGCTATGTAATTATTTTCATGCTTACATTCCAAATATTCTAAGAATATAATCCGTATATGCCAATCATAACCATAAATAATGACCAAAATTTCCATAACATATACCAAGAAAAGGGCATACCTAACACAATGTGCTTCATCAACAACAAAACCTGCCAATTGTCCCTACATGAGAGCAGAAATTACATTAGCAACTGAAATTTTCAAAAGCTTAACATGCTTCAATGGTCAGTAAGAACTCAGGTAAAATCACCTTTCTATGCAGACATTTCAACACCTCAAGAAATGATTGGTTTCCAACAACCCTTCTGGAGTCACATACAAAAGCTTGCATGATGGATTATCTTTCCTACAAGCATGAAAAGAAAACATAAATAGGAAAGCAAATATATATCCAAAAAAGTTTTGACAGTAACCAAGTATCTAAAAGTTAAAAATGATCTTTTCCTGCCAAATATTAACTTGCCTTAGTTCTTGCAGGACAGCTGCTGCTTGGGAAGCAGTTTGTTGAGAATTCAAAAATGTAGCTGGTACTCCAAACTTAAGGTTCAGCGTAATTATCTGATCCTGAATTAAAGATATAAGGAGAGATGACCCTGTAACACCAGGTTTCAAAGTCGCTGGAGCTGTTCCAAGCATAAGATACATCACATTGTTGTAAACAAAGAGAAAATAAGTCTACTACACCATCACATCCAAACCCAAAAGACCACAAAATTCAAAAAAAAAACTTAAAAGAGCAGAACTAAAAGAGATTAGAAAACACCATGCACCAACCCCGCAAACACCCACCCAGACCAACACCCCCCCCCCGCCCTCCCAAAAAAAAAAAAAAAGGGAAAACAGGTATACCACATTGAAGTATCCAAACAAAATCCCAACAGTATCAAAGTGTACATTCTTCCATATTCATTTCCACTTGTAAGATTTAAGAGTCAAAATAAGTGCAATATTCAATTTTTAACTGTAAAAGCCAGGTCTTTAATATATTCAGTTCTGAATTTTTGGCAAATTTAGTAGAACCTACTTGACAAATATCATCAGTAAAGAGGATGACCTGATAACATAGACTTTTACCACCCCCAGTAGGCATGAGAATGAAGCAATCTCGCTTCACCAGAGATGCTTTACAAGCCTGATGCTGCAACGGTCGAAATGATCTGTTACCAAAGATAACAACATTTGCTAATTCAAAATCATCCAAAGCCTGTAATTCTTCATAACTTAGAGTCCCATGTCCACCCATTGATGTGCTGGCGAAGTGCTTTTTACCAGAAATTGATGAAACTGAGCCTCGAGTCACACTACTCTTGGAACCCTTCAAAATCAAAACCAACTAATTCAATATCTTTAAGCGCCTTAACTCTTAATATAAAACAAATGAAATGTTCTGCTACAAAACTATAATGATACCCCTAATACTAAAAAGGTTCTAGTGAAAAAATCTTCTTACCGTGCAACTGCTTCGATCCAGACGAGAACAAAGGGTCGAACCGCCACCCTTTTTCTTTGAAATCCTTAAGTCCAAGACCTCATCATCACTAGAAGAATCCAACTCCATGAAATTTGTTTGTTTCTTTCGTTCAGGCGAATCATCGATGATGTTAATATAGATTCTCTCGTTCCTATTGCCATCGATTTCACCATTGCAAAGGGCATTTTTTTCAAACATATTGTTCAAAGCTCCACAAGCTTCTGATTCCACAGCCCGTAAATCATCATCCCAATCCTCGCTGTCTTGCATTGTCTCAGCCAACGCCGCAAGAAAATCATCGCCACAATACTCCACCGTAACAAAATCCCGGCCGTCATCACCTTCACAAATTCAAACAATTTTCAATCTCGTACATATTTAATTTCTCTTCTTTCAAAATTTGATCCATGATTTTATTAGTCAATTTTCCAAAAGAATCAATTTTTTTTCCACCGAAAGAAAAAAAACCGAAAAAAATAAAAAAAAATAAAAAAAATAGTTCAAATGTAACAAAATAAAAAGAGCACCAAAAATCAAAGGGAAATGGCGAGGAGAACCGTAGAGAGAGATCAAACGATCTAAGCTCTTCTTCGCTGATTGCTCGTCGAAGCCGAACTCGAGAGCCAAGCTCAGTAACCGTGCTTTCTCCAGCTCGAAATCGTGACCGTTCATCTCTGCTCCGACGACGACGATTAATTTTGTGAGATTTTTTTTAAAAAAAAAAAAATTGAGCAAGGTGAAACTGAAATCTCCCGCGCTATTTGTGCATCCGGCGCGTTATCGGTTGGAACTTTATATCGAGGTTGAGGCCAGTAAAACGACGCCGTCTCCCAGCTCTCATGTACCAGCCCTTGATTGGTTTTAAAATGTTTTGTATTAATAATGCAAAAATTATTATAAATAGAGAAATAAGAAATTCAATTCATTCTTTTTAAAATTCATAAAAGCTTGACTTGAATCCTTATTCTTTTGCAAAATACATAGATTTATATATAGAAAAAGGACAAGAATTTTTACACTTTTATCTCAAGTTTTAAATTTTTTCAAAATTTAAAATTCATGAGTAGTATAATTATTAAATAAATTTATACATACAATCAGATACAAAATGGATCAGATTTTTTTCTCATTTCACATTAATTATCATATATTCACGCCATCAAATCACATAAATTTAATATCAATTGAATTTTTTTAATTAATATTTTCTGTCTAACTATGAAAGTCATAAAATGAAATAATTCAAGAAATTTTTTTAACATTTAAATCAAAAAATATATTGATTATCAAATTTTTCATTACCTTAAAATCAATATTGACCATTAACTTAAAGGGTAGCCCAAATGGGTTGGTCTAAGCTAAATCACTTCAAACACCTGTTCAAAACCAAAAACCAACCTTTCATATCTCCACCTCTCTTTCCCGTAATGAATGGATTTGCATTCTTATTCTCTTCATCTCTCTCTCCCTCTCTCTTTCTCTCTCTCTCTCTCAGCGAAAAGAAGAAAAGAGAGAGAGAGAGAGAGAGGGAGGGAGGGACATCGATAGATGGAAGATTACTTCCGGCGGCCCACCTATCGGCCTGCAGCCGCAGGAGTCGGCGGCAGGAACCCTGAGATCACCGATGCAAACATGTTAAAATACGTGAACAAAGTTTACTTCGGCCGGTCATCTCAGCCACCAGCCTTGGGTCCATCTCCGTTCGATCGAAAACAAAATGCTAAGAAGAAGAGGATGGAAGAGTCTTGTACGACAAGCAAGTCATGGTGGAACGAACCCAAGATGAAGAGGAAGAGGAGGCTTGCCAAGTACAAGATGTTTGCCCTAGAAGGGAAACTCAAAGAGTCCCTAAAGAAAGGGAGCAGATGGATCAAGAAGAAGTATTGTAAGATTGTGCATGGCTACTAATTGGAAGGCAGTTAATAACTATAGTACATCTTAAAATGTGAGTTCTTTTATTCTTCATGTTTTTCTTCTTGTAATCTCCCTTTGATGTGCACTTCATTTTATTTATGGTCTTTTCTGGAACAAGAAAGTTCTTTTTTTTTTTTTTTTGGTTTTTAAGGTAAATAACAGAACAACCATTTTTGCAGGTGAATCATTATTTTTTTATCAAAGAATTTTTTTAAATTTTTAAAATTTTTTTTTACCTACACAAATTCACAATCTATATGAAAATTAGACCTAATATCAATTAACATTTGATATCCAATTTGTATGTGATGTGATGCAGATGAAATTTGATTAGATGACAGTTAAAGTGAATTTTTACCTTTTCCACGCCTATTATGTAAAATTTACATAATTTGATAACGTAATAACCTAATAACCTCAATTGTAATGTAATTTTGTCATCAAACTATATGGATTAAAAATTTTAATTGATTCCAAGTCTAATGATTGATAAATTTTTTATTACGGATTAAAGACTTGTGTAAGCAAACGATAAAAAAATAAAATACAAATCAAAGGAAAAGGATTTTTTTAAAAAAAATATAATAAAAAAATAAAAATTCAAAAGTGTAAACCGGCATAATTCAGGGACCTTTTTGTTACCTTTTTCTTAGGTCACTTGTAAAGGAAATTTCTCTGTTTTTTACTCGTCTTTTTTCTTCAGGTACGTGAGGAAATTGTAACATATTGTGTGTTGAAGAGATATCCATTTAACCAACCTGAATTTCTACCATAGCAATTGCTAAGCTTCAGAAAGTGAAGCCTGAAATAAGAGATGCCAGCTATTCTACTCTATCTTGCCCATTTTAACTACTTTTATTGTTCTTTCTTCCTCCCTTTGTGATCACAACTCATAACAAAACCAAATTTAAGTCCTTGAGTAGATTTTGAGTACCTGTACCGAGCACCGGGATTTTGCTGGTTTTTGCTCCGGATCTCTGATTGCAGGCAGAACCTGGGTAATAATAAACTTGACAAGATTCTATGAACATCAAATTAGTCCTCAATTACAAATCTTTGCTCCTAAATAAATTGTCATCAATGTACAATCATTGTTATTATTGAGTTTAAGACCTAGCTCACTTGAGCAGGATGAATATTTACAAGGAACAAAAAGAAGATGAACAAGACCAGCAGGGGAAAAGATTTAAAAAATGGAAAAATGGAAGAGAGCAAGGTGAGAGAAGAATAAGGTGCCAAAGGTTGAGCAGACTACCATAGGGATGGATAGCAGATCAACTGATTGCGATGACAATCATAACCTCAATGAATTAGTACTACCTTGGTGTAATGTGGTTGGGACGAAAACTTATTCTCATGGCTCATTGTCCTCAACTTCCAACTCTTTTCTAACGTTAGATTCCTTATTGGACTTCTTTGGGTTATCAATGAGAGAAACCTGCAAAATAATCCTACAATAAGATGCAGCTTGCTATCCATATGCCCCTTAAATGTAGAAGCATTACCATGTCCTTACAATGTGGGATTTCCACTCAATTTTGTCATGCCCCTCTGATACATCGGCGGGATGAGAATGATCACGAACATGGAAGAATATTTGAATAAGAACAGCAGCATCCAGAGCAGCATACTCAAGCTGAGCAAAGATTCAAGAAAATGTTGAAATGTAAACACTGAGAGTACAACAAAAAGAAACATGATAACAGTCCTTCAAGTAACAGAGATGGGAAGGATGAAGGAACAATCATAAAAATACATATACCTGATTCTGAGTCAATGGTCTTTGTTCCCAGTCACTATTCCGTCTTGTTTTATTCAAGCCTGCTCCCAATATTTTCTGAGAAGGAATTTGCGAGCAATGAAATCATAAATGGAAACCAAGTTATACATGACAAAGAATTTGGAAGGACAGAAGGCATAAATACCAACTCCATGTTCAGCTTACCTCTGCAAGACCAGAGAGGCCACCTCGGGGATCTTTGAACACATTCTGAATGTCCAGTAACATATTATAGGACTTGAAACACTCTAAATCTCCATATGATTGAGCTAGTTGCTTTACATCACATTGAAAATTATAACCTACAATGCATGCAGCATGTTTATAAAATGTTAGTATTATTAGAATAATCATGAGATGTTTTAGTTTAAGACAACATGCCTTCCTTTTCATACCAGCCAATTATATAGAAATATGTAACACTACAATTGGGAATTTTTTATGCATAGTAAATTAAGTGTGTATAAACCAGCATAGTTTCAGATATATCAAACAAGACAACTTGACAACTGAGATCCTTGTATAAATTGTACCAAACTGAGGACAGAATTTCCCCTTCTTCAAAAAGACAGATGTTCATACCGAGTTTTAGAATTCTAGGAGACTTCAAGATGCGAGATAGGCATTTGTCTAACACATCAGGCACATCCTTATATAACTTTATCAAGTCAAAGATGAAAACCATCTTATCTGAAGCTATTTGCATGATAGAAACCTGAAACATTGAAAACTCCATTTTAATGTCTAAGGACAATTAGAGCAGTCATAACGTAATGGATAGACAAAAAATGTCAAATTGTTCATTCACTGAGGATTTGCCAATGCAAACCCAAACAAGCCTGTCACTAATTCCATAATGACTTATATTACAAAATAGAAGATATTTATCGTTCAATCCATAAATAAACACTTTAGGGATTGTACATTGATGACAATTTATTTTGAGTTTTCCACGAAATGGAAGAAGATGATTCAATGCTTACCTTGTTTGGTTTGCTACCCTTTACATAATTGGGTTTCCATTCACAGTCAAGGCCCACAACTTTGGATCGCTCGATGTTGCATGTTGCTTTACAAAGACCATCAACTTCATCAACCCAAATTATGTCTTCTACAACCAATTCATTGAGATTTAAAAAGCGACGATGCAGAAAACTAGCTTCAAGTTCTGAACAAAAGCATAACCAGCAGCATGAGAGTCTGCCTTCAGCCAAATTATAAGTCTAAAAAATCTACTTATATCTACCAGTAGTGCACCAAGACGCACCAGCACTTGTTAGTAGTCATATTTAACAGCATCAAAGAGAAGCAATATAAATATTAAACAATGTAAAACACCACCCTGGAAACAGCAAGAAGGTATACAAATTTCAGAATTCATGTTGTTCTATATGCCTTTATTATACAGTCTTGAGTGTAGCTTCCTATGCGAACCAAAGCACATCACCATAAGTTTTGGTCCACATTCATAGTCTATATATCATTTTTCTTTATTTCCAAAAACAGGCCCTATTAATTAATGAACATACCTTTTGCTTTCAAAAAACCTTCAAGGGAGTAACGATTGCACAGTTCATCAACCTTCTCTGAATAACCAGCTTCCATGGCCAGATAAACCTAACATCCAGAAATTATATTTTTTAACATGCGTAGGAAGTAGTCAAAATCAACAAGCCATGGAAACATACAAACAGATCAGAAACTTGACAAACCATGAGTTGGCAAAAAATAGCATATTCAGGCAAAAACTCCGAAGCTCCATTTCATCTTAGAAAGACTTACTTGTGAAAATGATATCATCCATGTAAGAAGATGCTTACCAGATACTCAACTAATTGTCTGTTACCATTTGTCTTTGCCTCTGCAACATCCCAGCATGCTTTTGCTGCTAGCTTCTTTAATGCACTACAATATTGTAAAATAGTGCTATAATATTATCTGTTTTTAACACCTCTGCTCCCAACCTCTTTCTGGGGTCAGAGGTGGGCAGAGACATATTGCCAGCATGGAGAATAATATCTAGGTACCTTTCTTTGTACTTGTGATGCACATCTGGAAATTCTTGCAGGAGATTGTTCTTCTTTATAATCACGTAAGCATTCTTTAGCATGTTCCGGTCAGCATACTCCTGGACAAGTATGAATAGCATTGGCTTCCCCATAAACATTGCCCACTTCTCTGCTGCTCTGAATTGTTTTTTCTCCATCATTTTGAGAAGAAAAGACTCCCCAGATTGACGGATAGAGAAGTGTTCTAACAGATTGACTGCTGTCATATATGACTGTGATTCTATCAAACCAAATATATACTGCTCAACAAATATCTTTGCACTGTCGAACCTACAGTCATTCTGAACCTTTAATTGGGATACAACTTTCTCAACATCAGTCAACTTGACATCAAAAACTTCAAGTATCTTCACAGCAATCCTCTCATCATGGTCAATGAAACCATCAATAATATAGAGAAATAACCGTGCAGCTAAATCTTTTGCTTCCAAAGAGTCTCCAGTGGTGGCTGCTGTCTTTAGAAAACGATGAAGAGCAGATACGATCAAGTGACTGAAACCTTCACAATATGGCCCAAATATGGGCAGGATATAGAGACAATAAGCAACAAAAGTAGCTGGGCCAGGTTGGGGAGAATTATGTAGAACGTGGCAGACTTGTTGTTGGAGAGCTCGGAACTTTTTAGTTGCCTTCAGGTTTCCTGTCAAAATCATCTATTGAGAATCAGCACAAACAAGAACAAGGCAGGGATAAAATTACTACAACAAAATTAACTGGTGTCTTGCAGCACACTAAACAAGGGAAAACTTTTCCAAGCGAACAACAAGATCAGCAATAAAAGGAAGAAAGACCTTACCATGAAAATAACATTCTTTAAGAAGGTATAAGAACATGACTGGAGGAACATAGGTCAAATCATTAAAAGCATGCACACATATTGTTTCCGTTTGGCAAGTTTTCTCCTTCTTGACCTGCAGCTTTATAGCTTTTTCCTCAAACCCCATACTAGAGATGCACAGCCAAAGTTACTGAAGTGGATATCCCAACAAAAGAAAAAGAAAACAGTTAGCTCGAAAAACTCATATCATTATATGTTATTTTTGATGTATCATTCTGCGTCATTAGCTTCTTTATTGACCAAATCCATAACAGCAACCATAACCATACCACTTGATGCATAATTAATCCAAAAGATCAACCTCCCTATGAAAAAAGAAAGACCTTGCTAAGCTAACACCATTTCAAAGCAAACAAAACTAAACAAATACATTATACAATCAAATTCTAGATCCAGGGAAGCAAACAACAATTCAAGCAAGATTTTCAACACCAATTTCATTCCT